TGAGAGCTTCTCACACGAAACCTTTCGAAATAAAGCACCGGTGACTGAAGCTTCGGGCTCAAGCAGAACAAAATGCCAAAGGACATCTGGATGGTATCTGCCAATGCAGAAAGAAGCTATAGGCTAGCAGATGAACAATATTCTTTTGAGATTTACTTCACTGTATGTCAGCAGGCACAATTTTATAATTAAAAGCATAAACCTTCAGAGAACAGTCCAGAAAAGAGATACAGTCCAAAAAACCTGGAAGCTTCCTGACTGTGCGCTGACATCAAGACAGACCAAATTAAGCATTTATGCCTTCCATGATTTCCCTCCAACTGCTTAGTCATGGCAGATTCTATGAGGTAAATCACCATAGTCATGAAGACAATGTAAAGGCTTACGCATACAAAGGGCTCGGGTTAAATTTTAAACCCGAGCTCTTTGCACTTCGAGCTAAATTGAAATTCTGTACTGGTAGAGTGTTCCAGTCCTCATGGGCAGAACACTTCATTCTGAAGTGCAACACTGATGAAGAGTTTCCAAAGATGTTTCTTGCAGTCATCCTTAGCTGAATGAAAGAGGACTATTAGGAGAGGCCATAAAGGTGACAAACAATACAAGTGATCAGTGCAGCAATTTCTTATGCTGCAGGCCCAACTACTGTATAAGTCACACGTACCGTATATTTCAGAACAGTAGAAGATCCTCCAGCTTATGTAGCACTGGAAACATTACAATATATACAAGGACCTGTAAAGAATTCAGCAGTAGACTTCTTCCTATTCTCTACCTGTTCTCCTACCTACTCCTGCCTACTCAGTTCACTGAAATTAAGTAACGGTCTCGCTTGTATGAATGTTAATAAACAGAAATAAAACTCATCTGGAAACTTTAGTTGGGCAAGGAAAGAAACTTCCATAGCGAACCTGTGGTGGTTTCTGAAGCAGAAAGCAATATATTGGTCTTGTGTAATTACGTTAGGTAGTTATGACAATGGCTTACCGTGACCTACCATGATACGCTTACGTTTGTACCCAAACTTCATAGCTCTCAATGTATGACTCATCCACTTCTTGATGTCCTTTAGCAGAATCCCAGGCACCGGTATGACCAGTGTCTCCTGATATAGAAATCAAGATGTGGAAGCTCTACACATTCTGACTCAGGAAGGAGCACTCCTGAAATGTAGATAATAGCCAAAATGGCACCACAATAATATAAAGGTGAATTATTCTGTTTATTATTCATCCTCATGGAATACCTGTGCTAAGAGCCTGGCTGTATTATCCCCAAATTTAATTAAAAATTACTGACTGCTACATAATGAAAAGTGGTCACATGATTTGTGATATAGAAGCGAATATAAAAATCTACTGATTATGCCATAGTAAAATGACCAGGAAAATACAGAAAGGAGACAAACAAGACCGTGTTGAAATCACCCATTTGAATTAATTTGGAAAAGAACTGAAAGGAATTAAATCAAAGAATCAATGAAAAAAAAAAAAAAAAAAAAAGAATTGTAGAGTTGGAGGATGGTCACATTTTACTTAGCTAAGCTTTCTGACTTTTCTCAAATTGTAACCTAATATAGAATGACTGTGGTACTCACATCGGGAAGTTCAGAAATAGGTATTCAGCCTCCCAGCTGCTACCCAACAACAGTTATGGCCTCCTGACAGAGGAGATAGAAACACAGTATTCCTGGTTTGCTCAGGGATAGAAAGAAAAGTATCCCTGGTTTGCTTAGAGGTAGAAACAAAGTATAGATAGAAACAAAGCATAGATAAAAACAAAGTATTCCTGTTTTTCTTTTTGTCTAATTGCTGATAGCTTTTGCTAAAGGGTCCTGGTGTACCGTGTACTGGCACTATAGTTACCTCTATTTGCATAAATAAAGAGACTACAGTAGTTATCCAACATAATTAAAAATTCAAAAATAGAGCACCTCCTGTAAATGGTCAAAAGAAAGTTCTTCAGGGAGGTTACTTCACATTCCAGCTGCCTTTTATAGGAATTCTTTCTCTTTCTTTGAATAGATGAGGTACTGGACAACATGGCTGATTCCCGTCCTCCTACAGGCAAGGTGAGTCTAATGAGAATGCAAAATAGTACAGACATGATAGTCTCTAATGAGAATAGTACAGAACTCAAATGAACCACTGGTTTTCTCCCTATGTTCTAACTTTTTAATTATAATTACTTCCTGTCTCTTTTGTGCTTTGGTTTTCAGATTCAAACATCTCACTTCATGCATTACAAGCTTGTCCTTCTCAAAGAGCTTTTCTATACTGTGAGTTTTTACCATGTAAGAGAGAACGAAAATAGTTTTCTGTAACGTTTTGTCATCTGTTGCTCCTCTTCTGCTCTACACCAAGTATCTCAGGGGAGCTTGAGGCCAACTGCACTATCTGTACTGCAGATGCTGTTCCATCTCATGATGTACCCTGGAATTCATGTGTAAATCTGAGGAGACTAGACATATACATTCCACTTATCCCCAAGCTGCATCATAAAGAAGAGCAACAAAGAGGAGAAACGAGATTTATAGGCAGCAAAGAGATATAGGCAAACTGGAAGTATTATCTATAGACATTATGCATCTTATTCTTTTTGTTTAGAAATTGATCATGAACAGATAACTGGTATTAAATTAATTTCCAATCTTAATTGTCTGAATAAAAGTTTAAATCAATCTATTCAGATTTAAATTTTTATTATATGTTCCTAGAAAGCACTCATAATCAGATCACCAGAGCAGTAAAACTACTAAGAAGTGGAAGTATTTTAGGGAGAGTAGGAAACAGCAGATGATAAAGAAATGCCCGTTAACACGATGCATTTGTTGTCTGTGCTGTCATTACTTCTTGCCAAAAAACCCCAAATGGCTTAATGTATCTCTTTTCCATCTCTGCTTCTGATGAAAATCTAGTACTTACTGAGCAACATAAGCATGTAACTAGATCAGATCAAAGGTCTAGCCAGTTAGCTTTCCTTTGACAGAGATGAACAGTAGAATGAATAGTAGATGAACAGAGATGAACAGTAGAATGTTTAGAACAGGGTATTGTGAAGTTTAGAACAGGGTATTGTGGTATTTCCCCAGTAAGGGATCCCCTAAGCTTCCAACAGGCCATGACCAGCAACCTTGAGCATCTGGCCCTGTTAAAGTACCTGTGTTTTTAATAATCTGTGACATGCTTTCTGTCATGAATTTGCTTGATTTGACTCTTTAAATGCATGCAGACTTCTGGTATCTATATTATATTGTGCCAGTGAGTTTCAAACTTTAACTAAGTATTGCATGGAAAAGAACCTCACAGAAATCCCTGCAAAAATATTATAAACTAAAAATTGTAACTATACGAGCCAAACTCTGGCAGGAATTAGCTGTGTGTGGTTTTAACTAAGCTCTGGCATTTGTGGGAGAAGAATTTTCGTGATGTCAAAATGAAGACTCTTTTTCCATCTGAACCACCATATGGAAATGTTTATAATAAAAAGTCTAGAATTACTGAAACACAGTGTTTCTCTCTAGACAGTTTTGTGGACCAAACGATGCACTGTAATATAATGTAAAAGAGATTACTTAGTGACTTACTCAATTTATTTGATGTAAATGATAGCAGAACGGGTATCTCATGTTGAATGTTCCACACAGCTCCTCTAAGTCAATCATTATGTCACAATAGGAATAATTAACATTTGATAATTTCCAGTATCTTTTAACATACAGTATCTACAGTTATCTGAAATTAACTTTTAAACATGCTACCTTAGAAAAGCAAAGCCCAACAAATTAAGCACTATGTAACTATAGCAGAATATTTAATTCTATCAGAGAAATAACATACCAAGATTTGCTATGAAATAACATATTTAAAACATTAAGTATAGAGTAAGCATGGCTTTTAACTTTTGAAGATGTATGTGCGTCTGCTTAGCATTAGAGGGCCATGCCATTTAATTGCTTGCTTCCTAATACATACCTCTTTACATTGTTGCTTCTCCACATCCTTTGCTGGGATGAGTTTGCATAGAGACAGCTCCATGCTGTACTACTGTGAGCTAGTATGCTAAGAAAAAGCACGTGCTTTCAAGCGCAGTGCCCCTGGAGACAGATGCAGTATCCAGAGCTGCCTGGAATCCCGAAGAGTCAACCTGCCATCGTTCAGAAGACACGCTGCAAGACAGCGGACTACTAAGGCGCCGGGACAGAAAGCTCAGGACAAGCCATCTTGCTCCCCCCCACCCTTTGAAACGAAGCACCTTCGCCAGTGCTTTCACTGCAGCTACGGTGAAGGGCTTATTCTCGGCTTTGAACACCTGCTACAAATCACGGGATTTTGTAGGGCAAATCCTCAACCCAGCGGGATCGACGGCAACATTAGTACCGACTGGTACAATGTGATTGTGAGCTTATTTAATTGTCAACCTTTCTATAACAAAAAAAGAGGAGAGAGAAAAATTGAGTCTCCGGGGCTTCTTGACAACGACGATGACGATGATGATGATGACGACTAGTACCTGGGGCCTCGCCCGTCTCAGCTGAGAGGCAGGAAGCCAGCCGCTCGGCAGGACGACCACCGTCTCCGTGGGGCCGCGCCGCCCACGCTCCTCCCGCGCAGGGTCCCCGCAGCGCGGACCGGCTCTCAGGGTTTCCAGCAGGCGCCGAGGAGCCGCGCGGAACGGGCGGAGCGGGGCCCGGCCAGGCCGGCAGCCCGGAGGCGGGCGCAGGGGGCGGGCGCAGGGGGCGGGCGCAGGGGCGGGCACAGGGGGCGGGCCGAGGGGGCGGGCCGAGGGGGCGGGCACAGGGGGCGGGCCCATGGGCGGGCACAGGGGGCGGGCACAGGGGGCGGGCCGAGGGGGCGGGCACAGGGGGCGGGCCGAGGGGGCGGGCACAGGGGGCGGGCACAGGGGGCGGGCACAGGGGGCGGGCCGAGGGGGCGGGCGCAGGGGCGGGCACAGGGGCGGGCACAGGGGGCGGGCCGAGGGGGCGGGTCGAGGGGGCGGGCCGAGGGGGCGGGCCGAGGGGGCGCCTCGCTTTCCCGTCGTCCGGCGCGGCGGCGGGCCGCGTTCCCTAGTGACGAGGCGGCGCCATGCGCGGGGCCTGCGGGGCGCTGCCGGTCCTGTTGTTGGCGTGGCTGGCCGCCTGCAGCCCCCGCGCCCCGCACACAACCGTCGCCGCAGAGCTCGTCGCAGGGGCCGCTCCTCGGAGCGAGGGAGCGGCCTGGCCTCCTCCCCTCCGCCGCCGTGCCCCGCGGGCAGCCCGCGCCGTGAGCCACCGCCCCGCCGCCGGCCGCTCCCCCGCCCGCCTCTGGCCGCCCGGCGCCCGCGGCCTGCGCCATCCCGGGGCCGTCGGCTCGTCCCGCCGCTCCGGCGGCAGCAGGTGGGCAGGGGACGCGCGCCCGGCGCTGCCACGCGTGGGCCGAGGCGGGCCGAGAGGCGGGGACCGGTCACCCAGCAGCAGCCGCCGTTCAGCCGCGTTAGTTTCGCTGTCTCGTCTTCCGCGCCTCTCGGGCACGGGGGACAGCTCGATTCTGAGTCGAGGGCTTGGAACGGCTTCCCAAGGCCAACGTTTTAATGGCCTGGGTAAGGCAGGGCTTGGTTACACGGCGAGTATTGGCAGTGGGAGCTAGGAAGTCTTATTTTAGGGAAAAAAAAGAACTTTAATGTACATTTGGGAGACAGTAAAGCAATTGCAGACTGCAAGATGCTGTCAGCGAGGAAGACAGTTTCAGCTATTTGGAGAGTAAAATCTGTGGGTGAACCCTGTCTTTGCAGGTTGCAGTTGTGAGAAGGATGAAGAGAAGCAGTAAACGTAGACACTGAATTTTACTACTTTTTGTTCCAGGGAATTTCAGAGTGATCTCTAAATATAGAGAGTATCCACAGCTACTACAGTGCTGAGAGGCTTTCTGTAGCTGATTATCAATGCAAATTTGCAATAACTCATGTAAGCTGCTGAAAAGTAATACTGTGTTCTGTTGCTGCCATTTAATAATGTAAAATATGAAGTTATGCAAGAATATTTTCTTTAACGGTTTGCTGGGGCGGGGTGTGGGGGAGCGCGGCTTGTCTTCGCAGGTCTGTGAGGCAAGTGTGTGTGGAAAACTCACTTGTGTTCAGAAGTAACACTCCTTATCCTACTGACACTGTTGCTGTCCCTGGTGGATACGATCTGCTGTTCTGTGTGCAGCTGAATGATTGTAAGTACCCTTTCTTTCCACACATTTAATTCACAGATTGCCTCTGCTTAGAGAATTTTTTTTAAACTTGCATATTATAATATTTGCTAAGTAATTTGTCTGTTACAGTTCCAGAGAGACGATAGTGAGTCAGGGTCTGATCATCAAAGACAAATGGAAAAAATAATATTGTACTCAGTTTAAAGGTAGGGTCTCTGGCTAAACACAAATCAGCCTCTATCAATTGCTTCTGTATCTGAGATACCTTACTTAGCTTGCTACACTTAGAGCAGCAAATAAGGATTGATGTTTAAAATATACCACTATTATAATTTTCAGAAAGTGATTTTTTTATCATATCTTGGATTCTTTGTTTCATATGCTTATTTTCATGCGTAATTCTCTGCTGGGAAAGATTTTTCTCTAGTAATCATATACCCTTGTAACGTATGCCATTAACAGTTTTTTTTCCTTCTGCTTTCCACATTGTACTTCATTTGACTGCTTTGATATTCAACTCTCTGGCACTTATTGCAATTTACTAGGGTCTCACATTTGAGCACTTACCATTTTCTCTTTTGAGTCTTTTGCCTGGGAGTTTTGACCTATAGTCCCATCTACTTCTGGCTTAAATCATAGATTATTTTAGGTTGAGGGTGGTTCAGGAGGTTAACTGGTCCAACAACTAGTCAAAACAGTGTCAGCTTCCTATATTCTAGTTCTGTTTTCAGCTCTTCACATATGTTGCCTGAATGTTTTGCAGACAGGGAAGAGAAAACACAGCGAGAGCCTCATAGTACATATTATGATAGGTAGCAGTGCTAGAACTTCACCCATTCCCATTTTCATTAGGTCTCAGAGTAAAGATTAATTTTGATGAGGGATTAACCACAGCTGAAAGTGCCGTCAGGTTCCTGAGTATTCCAGCCTGTAGCTTGGAAGTAGCTAAATTTTATCCTTTTCCCACAACACGCATAGTATCATAGAAATAGGATCAGAAGGACACTGAATTTGTGATCTTATCAAAGGAAGGATGATCTGTGTCCAGATTGATGGCACCAGATTTTTCTGGCCATGTAAAATTTGGGCTCCATATCTTTCACATGATTAGTCCCACTGAACAAACCTTAGATGTTTGCACATGTATGTTATGTGTAGCACACCTGGGAACAACAGAATTCACTGCTCACATGGCCTTTTCCTTTTCTGTGTTTGTTGTTGGAAAAACATTTGTAAAAGACTTTACTTGGGATCACCTGAAGGATGATAAAGTTTTATGGTAGGAACAGCCTTCTCTCCTTTGGCTTTCCCTAAGGAAATATAGAAACACATGTGTTCTTGTTAACCAGTTGTGGAAGGAGCCCTTCCAGGATGGATGATGACATGAGTTACCACTGCTGGGAAATATAATCAAACCTGCTCTAGAGGGCCTCCTGGAAAAGGGCAAGTGGGAGCAGGCTCTGAACCTAATGAATTAATGTGGCCAGTAACAGAGAGATTGTGATGCACAAGTTGGCTTCTCTGTATTGAAACCACTGTTAGCAGATACCAGTGTAATGTTCAAGTTTCACTAATGCTTCTTTATGATACCTCTAAAAGATGCAGGTTTTTTTCTTCCTCTGCCTGTCAGTAATGGCTCTTTCCATGACTGTTCTCATTCTTTCTTGACTGCAGTACTCTATTTCAACTGTCTTTCCTGAAGTGTAAAACTTCCTTTTCTTCACCCAGTCATCTTTCTTGACTGATTTTTGGACAGTTGCCATCCTCCAATTGCTTTATTTTTCTACTTTTTCATACTGCTGTTCTGCATCTGACAGCTGTTCACAACTTGGCATTCCTCTAACCTCCATAGCTCATCACACTCAATCTTATCTTTCTTTTGTGCCCTCTGTGGCCCTTTCTTCCTTTTGCAGTTTTTCCCAGTACTGCCTTTTCACTGTCTTATGCTAAGGGTGGAGTTTCACACATGTCTTAAACTGATTTTAGACTGTATTGATACTAAATGGAGCACTGTGACTGCTCACTACATCCCTAACGGTTCCTTCTGTGTAATGATCATGTATGTGGCTGGATCAGGCAGTCTAGCTGATGCAACTAACAACTAATTCATTAAGAGGAAGATAGGATAGCAGTTCTCAGGGACAGTTGGAAATACTGGGTATTTTCAAAATTCTTAAAGTACTTTAAAAAACATTCCTGTTTCACATACTAGTTCCTCAAGATAACAACTTTATCTTTAGTCTTTGCAGGCGTTAGGAGAATATTGCTGATATTTCTGCTTCTAAATCAGTGGAAGAACGAATATGAGTGCATTTTAAGGTTACAGGAATCATTATCCATGAGTCCGACTCCTGGTTTTTTGAAGTTTATCCGATTTCAGACAAATTAAATTGTCTGAAGTTCTTTTTTGCTTTTTTCTACAAGACTAAATAGCCTTTAGTAGCTAGCATGCTTCGCTGAGCAAACTATACAATGAACAATTTCTATGTTTTCTCTGAAAACTTAAGCAGTTTGGATATTTTAAGTTTTGCTGCAGAAGGCCTTTTCTTTCAGTTTTCAGGTATATTTTGCATTATGTAATTTTGTTAATCTGCGCTAGCAAGTATTCAGCTTTGATAATAGAAAAGTACATAAAGAACTGCATTCCAAAGAAAAGAAATAATTCTGAGTAGCACAACTACTCTTCTTCAGTCTAATGATTATACCTTCAAGTGAATACTAGGAAAGCTGCTCTGTGCACCTATTTTTGTGAACCTTGCAGGAGCTTAATATTCCTTTGTCCTTTATCTCCTTAAAAGATTTAAATGACTGCTTGACTAATGCTGTAATCAGATATAAAAACTTTTATTTCTGCCTGCTGCTCTGTACGTCTGAGGATTTGCTCTGCCCTCAAACAGCAGAATTACATTGAGAGCTTAACTTTGTTTTTTTCTTCCCCCCCCTACCCTGCCCCCCCCCCCCAAAAAAAAAAAACCTACTAGACTACCTAAATTTTTTCAGTAAAAAATTTTAAATTTTTACATCTAAAAAAAAAAAATTTTTTGTAATGAAGGATACTGTCACTCACTTCTGTTGTTGGTATGATCTGTAGTCCTCAAACCTTGTAAGATGTTTTATTTGGTTGTATTAAAAAGTTTGTTTGAACAAGTCCATTAGCATGAGTCTACAGGATATGTCCTCAGTAATTTGCTGTTTTATGACTTACTGTTTTAGCAGTAATAATTTAATACCCTGTAACATTATAACCATACTGAATGCCACTGGGTCAGGAGGGCATTACCACAGGATACCAATAGAAAGTCTGGGGTTTTTAGAATGCCTGTTCTATTCGTACTTAGAGTTTTACCAACCTTAATTATATTGAATCTATTAAATGTTGCTTTTAGTGAACTCACATATTGTTGTGTTTTGTCATTAAAATGTCATGTGTGCCTAATTTGGGCATTTTACAGAAATTAGAGCACATACTAAGATAGTTGTCTTAAGCAGTTTTCATGCTTTTTAGAAAGTCACTTATGTGTATCAACACCTGTTTCTCATAAAACAGTACAAAATAGTACTCATCATATAATCCTGTTCATAGCTCATATTAGCCTGTTAGCAGTGTTACTATGGATTAATTAATATATGGCACTATCTACCTTATGATTACTGGAGTTGTTCCTTTGAAAAATATGGGCACAATATTTACTTTTTCTTAAATCTATCTTTTCCAGTAATTTGATATTGGTGGAATTTTTTTTTTTTTTTCCAACCTTTAGCAAAGCTGAACTATTTCCAACAGCCACAGGATATCAAAGGGTCTGATTTTTTGAAGTTCTTAGAGAAGTATGGCAGACACTCTTTCTTAGCACCATCAGAAGTCCAGTCATCATTCTCTGCCTTTTACCGGGTGAGCTGAAAGAAAATAGCAATCGGTTTGCAGATACACTTTTACTAAAGCTGTCTGTAAGGAGATCTAAAGATTCTTATTTTTCTACCTATAAGCCATGTTATCTCTCAGTTCCTTTAGTTCCTTATTGTGTAAAAAGTTTCTGATTAGTTTTCTTGTATTTAAATGTTTGGACAACCCTTTAGATAAAACTGGGTGTACACTGAGGAGAAGAATAAATTTGCCTCTGTGCCCTGATGATGTCATCACCTTGCTCTTGGACTTGGTGTTCCACAGTCACTTTGTGATTTCTCCAAATTGTCTTTTCAGGCTGGAGATCCAATCCTAATCTACTTTGATTCAACATCTGTACTGAGCACGCTTAGACAGCCAGTAAAAATGGGAACCAGTGGACTTTGTGTTGACGGAAATCCTGCTGGTTAGTAAAGGGGGAAGAATTTCTTAGGGTGGTTTGCTTCTGTTTTATCTGTTGTCATGTCTTAACTCAGGCTTCCTGGACAGTAAAAGCACAAGCTGTACTCGGATTTTTGCCAACTTGAGCAAGAGCTGCATTACTGACCCTGCCCTAGATGCTGCCTCCTACTACCGTGACTTCACTGTGCTAAAGGTGCAGGTCATATTTCTTCCTTTTGCTCATCATCTTATTTGCTTGACTTTTCATTCCCTTCCACTGCAACTTCAGCTAACTGGAAAACTAAAGGTCATCTGGTGTGTCATCCCTGATCTCGCAGTTTCTAAGGCCTTCTTGCTGAAAATCCTGTTAAAAATGTCACGATTGGTGATAATATCTCAATTCAAACTACTTTCCAGTAAACTTCAGTTATTAGCAAATTCTTAATGCATTTAACAGGTACTTCGTAGTTTTAATGGTTTAACTAGAACTGTCTCACACTTCAAACAGACTGTTTATCAAAGTGTTTCCATCTGTTCCATCAACTTGATCAGCCAAGCAATGCATGGTTTTAGTAAAGAATGGGGATTTGTTTTGCACAGTATGTTATTTCTAAAATCATATTGAAGGCCCATTATGATTGTTAACTTTATTTGCACTCATAGATTGAATACCATATCAATTTCTCCATTATTTATTCTGACAATAATTTTCAAATAACTGATCTATTGTTCAGGGCTCATCATGCTGGTCTTACTGAATGTTAACATGGAAATATCTCCTCTCGTCTTCTTGAGTTTCTCTGCTGTCCCAAGATAAAATGTCAGTGTAAATATTAACACCTTATTAAAGCGAATGACTCAGTTTACCCTTATACTGGAAATCTAAATCTACATAACTGTAGTAGATAGTCTTCTATTGATCAAATTTAATTGACGTTTTCAGGGCTTTTTTTTTTTTGTCACTGTGGACAAAATTTAATTTTTCCTTAAATAGAAGCTGAAGTAATTGATTACTTGATTGGATGGACAGTTTGGATGGGGCTTTAAGCAACCTGGTCTAGTGGAAGGTGTCCCTGCCCATGGAAGGGGGTGGGAACCAGATGATCTTTTGGGTCCCTTCTGACACAAACCATTCTGTGATTCTATGACCCCACGCTTCCAGAGGGGGGAGCTCCAGGAACGGATCAAAGGTGCTGATGCTTTAAAGTATCTGCGTTCTGCAGGTCATTGGCAGGGTCAAGAATAAAACTTGTCTTCTGATGTTCTAAAAATGCTTTCTGTCGTTTACGTCTGTGATTTCTAGATCACAAATTGATGCCAAGTTTTGCGCATCTGGAATAAATGTGATTCTTGTCGATAGAATAAGTAGTCTCTATTTAGTGATTGTTTCATGACTTTAGGCACTTGCAAACCGAGAAAATTGGTTGTTTTTTTGGTGTTGTATGTTGGTTTGTTTGTTTTCCCCAGGTCCCAATTAATGACACCATTGTGCAGTCCATGAAGGTCAGTCTCCATTGCCAGTGAAAATAATTTCTGCTTATGAAATAAAACTTACCCTGGAATCTTAGGCATTCACAGTAATGCCAATGGGTTGGGAGCTTGGGAGAATGGGAACGTTCTGTGCCCAAGACAAGATTTTTTGGGCAAAAATGTGACCTTATAGAAAAAAAATAGAGATATAAGGAAAGATGTACATTGAAATTAATGGGCATAGATAGGGCTAGAGTCAGGGAGGTAGCTTCTTCTCTTAGAAAAAATCGGGCATCTGGAGCAAGGTGATGTGTCCACAGATCACAGCTACATCAGGAAGGTAAATCTGACTTGGATGGAAAAGCAGTGGAAAAAGAGTAAGACAGGGACATTCCTTTTAAACAGCTGGTAACTGCTGATATGTTTACTGTCTCCAGGTAAAGGTCACTGCAGTTGCACCGCCTGGGGCTCCCCACATGAAAGACAACACATGTAACAACGTTGTTTCTGAGGTATCTGAATCTTCTTTCCTATGGGCAGCTCAACACTAGCTTAAAGTCATTGCCCTATTACCTGACTCTGCCTCTGGTTCTCTGATTTGGACTTTCAGGTGATCTATGAGATAGAATTCAGTGGCACACATGGGATTCAGAGTGTTTCTGTCCGATTCAAAGTGAACAACATCTCTGGGAATTCAGGATCGTCTCTGCAACAGCACTTTACTTTGCGCTTCTGGGTCAGTGACCCCATCCTCCCTGGGCTCTTATCAAGTTTGTAGTTTGTGACCCAGTTTTGCACAGAAGAGATGTGAAAAGATTAGAGCATTGTCGCTGTGGTATGGTAGTAGGAGAACCCTGGGATGCAGCAGGTGGTTGAAGGAAGGAGGGGACACTGCTCTGGTCTCAAGTAAACTGTGTTAATATTCAGGCTCAGTGCAAGCATGCAGTCTTGCACTGTACAAATTTGAAAGGGCTGATTATTTTTATCCGACTATTTTTTGCTGTTTTCATTTGGTTTGGTTTGGGGTGGGGGGTTGGGTAGGTGAGGAGATAGGGAAAGGACGAAATCAGGGTCACCAGCATGGTCTTGTGAAGGAAAGGGTTGGAGCTGGTGCTGTATTTGAGGTGTCCAGTGTTTGTGAACAAGGTTGCTGAGTTTATTCCAGATGCTTATTTAACTTTGACAGTGCGGTGTGAAAAAGAGTTACTTCAGAGGAGGTGGAGATCTGGGAAATACTAGTGCGTGTTGAAGTTCATATAAACCTTGTCACATAGAGGCAATGTAAAGTGGAGTAAGCGGTGACCTCAGGGATTGCTGAAATTATCCCCAGAGGCTCTCCCTATAAAACAATTTAGAAGTGGAATCTGCCACTTGGAATCAGGGTCAAGGCAGGGTTTGTTCTGCAGATCATCTGTAGAATTGCCCAGAATGATATATTTACTTCCTTAGAGACAAATGCTGAGCAATAGGAATTAATTGTCTCAAGAACTGCCCGGGTAGTATCTACATTTCAGGGTACTGATATTTAGTTTTTCACTTCCTGGACTGTAGATGAACTTGCCAGGTAAGAAAGAGGATTTGGAAAGAAATAATGGAGGTTTTAGTAGTGTATAATATTCAGTCATTCAAAAACCGGGTTACATTTACATTTTTGAGAATGTGAATTTGATTTTCTGAGATGAATGAATTTCACGGGTAATGATGTTTTCCTCTTGCTTTCTTTCTTCCTTCCCTTTTTCTCTTTGTAGACCAGGACTCTTTCTCATATGTTGCCCAGAAGTGGAAACCCTGGCTATATTACTGGAGCACCATTGTTGATTGCAAACAGTGGTGCCATGCAGCATGTATCTTTTTTTTCTGCTATCAAGTTTTATCAGTGGGTTTATTGACTTCTGGTACTCTACTGTCTGGACTTTTGTCATTCTACCTTTACTTGTGAGGGCATACCTCAGTATTATGTTGCAGCCATTAGCAGGCCTTTTGGTCATGATTGAATTGTAGTCCTGTGATAGGGATAAGGAGGAGTGTGGGGTGAGAGGATTAAGTACAGGTTGGGTGTCCTATACTGTCTGTTTATGCTTTTGGTTTCTTGACATGCAGTCTGTCAGATGAGTATTTTATGGAGTGAAGGTGATGGAACTTGTTCACAGTTCCTCAGACACACAGTACAATTTGGAAGAAATATGAGGACAGGCTGCAAGCTCAGGTAACAACACACTCTGCACTCACCCCTCCTGACACGTTTGGAAGGTGTGGACTCACTTAACACATTTTTCCATAGTCTCTCAACACACTGCTGTGGAGCCTACATCCATCCCCAAGGCCACCAATGGGTCTCTACGGATCTTTCGTATACTCCTAAGTGAATTGAATGTCATAGAGATGGTGGACCTCTAGAACAATCTGAACATTGTGAAAGTCTTCTGGGATATTTTGAGGTTGTAGTCTGGCAACGTGTCTTGGACAAGAGTTTGTATTTGAGGAGTGAATTGTAATGGAACCTTAGAAAGTGATTGTTTTGATGACTTGCATCATTCTTTTGTTGGTGACAGGGCAGTTATACAACCACTGATGTGACAAGATAGCTAAAGAGCTGACTCTTTTCCTTATCACGCATTACCCTGCCATACTTTTCATCTCCCTTCTCACTGCAGAGAGGATTGAGACTGCATTCATTTAATACCAGTACTTCTGTAATGATTCTGTTGACTCATAAGAGCAGAAGAAATATTCATTATAAAGGAAGGATGCTAATAGCAGGTTTTTTCTGTCTTGGAAATCACTTTGTCAAAGCTGTTATTTTCTTATTTCCAGCCTATCCCCAATACAGGAAGAAAGTAACTGTAGTTACATCCAGCAGAAGTTATACAAGGCTCTTCAGGGGATGAACAGAGCAGAGGACCTTGCTATAACTGGCAGTGCTCACTCAATCCAGGCGGAAGAGTGGACAACCATTCTGATTCGGAACTGCAGTGTGCAGGTAATATGAATGCAAAAAGACCAGCTGTGAATATTTTTCCTTTTATATCTTTGTATTGCCTTAGGGAAGCATGAGTATTGGAAAAAAATAAACAGCTTGTTCATCTGGCCTTTCTTTATGTGATGATACACTGACTCTCAGGGGTCTTAATGCCTATAAGCAGTCATTCTTATTATGGTTCATATTATTAGGATACTTACTAAACAACAACAACAACAAAAAAAAAACAACCCAAAACAAACCAAACAAAAAACAAAAACAAAAACCTGACAGCTTTAATGTCTCTTGAATCCTGTTCCTGCTAGCTGAATGGCAACAAGGAGTTTAATACTGAATCCAGTGTTGTATTACTTGGTTTTCTGACAGCCTTCTAGAACTAATACTACCTGCTTAATTCCTATTAATTTTATGTTTTTACTATTATCATCCTTTCTGATTTTCCAGTTTACTGGGATAGTTGTATATTACCGAATAAGGTTAAAATTTGCTATTCAAGTACTTATGGAGGAGAGAAATTCTATTTTAATAGATACTAATCTGTCAGGAGATGGCCTAATAGAATGCAAAATCCAAATGGTAGAGCTGAGACAAATTCTGTTTGGAAATGAGATGACAATGAAATGGATGTATCATTAAAACGGGTGGTTGACCTGACTGGAAGTTATGGGGTTAGTGCTGAAGTAGATCATTCAGGTTCTGTGACTATCCAAACTACTAGACTTTGACTATAATGGTCCTTTTTCACCTTTAAAATACTATATTAAGATGTTTGGGGTATATTTTATTTTCAGGCTGTGAATTGCACTTCCTGTTGCATGGTTCCTGTGACCCTGGAGATACAGATATTGTGGACTAATGTGGGCCTCCTGTCTAACCCACAAGCTCAAATACTGGGTGCACGGTACTTTTATCAGTGTCACCCCCTGAAGGTATGGAATTTAAACCCCCTCCCTCATACACAAAGGTAATTAAATGGGATTCACAGGTTATCTAAGAACCATGGAATCAAATGGTCTTGTTATTACTGGGCTGAGATTTACTGAACTTTAGCAGTGGTCTGGATGCAATGGCAATCCACAAATTATGATTGTTAGTAAAGATATTTTAGCAACGGTACCAGTCAGTACCACACCTAGCAGTTAAGAATTACAGCCATTTGTAAGCATACCAGTGAGATCACCAATGTATTGCTTTACTTTTAAATTATGTAATTTCCAAGTTTTAACCTACAGATTCAATATCTGAGAACTTATCCATTCTTTAGAGAAAACCTTTTCCTTTAGACTGCGCTGTGTCACTGGAGAGTTGCCTTAGTGACTGACCAGAAAACACAGAACCCAGAAAAGGCATTCTATTTGCTACACCCATCCACTATATGTGGTCACAGTTGTATCTGGACTTCTTGAAAATACAAGACAGTCTTAAATAGTGTAGGGCTATACAGGAAGTTACTTGCGGCTGCCTTCTCTCAGCTGTTGAAGGTTTGCATATGGGATTTTTTTCCCCACTGATCTCTCTGATTTTAAGGCAGATTTTGAAGGTCCAGACACAAAGCCAGAATAATTGTGAGGCTTCTTGTTGACTAAGGTGATTGTGCTTACTGTGTGTTTACTCATTGACAGAAGAGCTTATATCCATCAAGAGTGAAGGGGAGATTCTAATTGTGACTGATCAGCAGTCGCAACTTGTGATGAAGGAACGATTTGGTACGGAGGGCAAAAAGGGGTTCAACTGGCTGGAACCAGGAATGACAGAGAGATTCCTTGCAAGGAAGTGAAGTTTCCCTTGGTGATCAGAAAAAAGCCTCAGCGTTATCTGTAGCCATGCTGGAATGGGAACACCCTGGTGCTGAAGCTCAGGGGCCACCCTGGGGCAGCAGTACTGGGCTGGGGGATGGACCCACAGCCAGGCTGAGGTGCCCCATGCTGATGCTCTTGGGATTGGTGCTGGTGCAAGTGTATATAAGGAATCTGCTCATGATGCATTTTTGCAGACTTCATGTAGAACCATACATTGCTGTAGGACTCTGCCCAGTGCATGGTTCGTTACATTTTTTTTCTTTCATATTTAAGCACAGAAGTGTTTTTAATTTGCCTCGAGAGGTACCACAAAAAATTCCCCAACAAGAGTCTCAAGAGTCATGAATTCTGTCTTAGAGCTTTTTCAAAAGCCTTCTGCACAACTTTGCTCTAAAGGCAATCCCCTGAATTGTTTCCAGGGGAGTGAATGAGGTGGTGATTTCTCAGATTGGCTTAAACCGATATAAGCACAGGAGGTATGCTGCCGGTAGATTTCCTCTCCTGAGGTTAGTATGGCAAGCTGGGAAGCTAAGGCAGGGAGTGAGGTTGCTTTTTCGGCATCAGCGTGGTCTTAAATCAGCCCAATCTAAGCATGAAACTCCACATAGCTCAAAGAGTGAGTGTATTGTCTTACAGCATTCTGTTGAAACAGAAAGGAACTGACACCTTAGAAGCTCAGTCCCCTGTTCCATCTTTACCAACTGATTTACCAACCTGTCTCCTTTCTGAAACAGTACCCTAAAATCTGGGAAATTCATTGTTGTGTTGTGTCCCTGCTTTATTTTATTGATATTTTATTGAAAGGATCAAATCTTGTGGCAGACCTGTCTGTTTCTGGCAGCAGTCACCTGTTCAAAGAGCCAGATGATTTTACCTTACATAAAACATAATTTTATAAAAAATTGTTCTGGGTTGAGTGAGTGGTGGAGTTCTTTGGTGGCAGGGGAGGGGGCTGTAGGGGCGGCCCCCTGCGAGAAGCTTCTCGAAGCTCCCCCAGCTCCACTTCTGTTTGGGAAATTGAGCCCATCAGCTGCACCTCTGCAATAACGTATTTAAGAAGGGACGTGGTGACGGGCAGTCGGACTTGTGAGGAGGTGTTGCTGCAGCTGCATGAACACCAAGGTCAGTGGAGGAACGGAGGAAGAAAGGAGGGGGGAGGTGTGCCGGAGCAGAGACCCCCCTGTATCCTGTGGGGAGATGGCAGGGTGGCCCCCCCTGCCACCCATGAAGATCTACAGTGGAGCAGACATTGATTTATGGCCTGTGGCTTCTGCCTGCCTGATCAAGGTTTGGTGCCTGAAGAAGGCCGGGGTCTTGTGGGAAAAGGCAGCCCCGCTGCTGTAATTCAGCGCTGGGAGGATTGCAGCATGCGGGGGAGTCCCACGCCGGAGCAGCTCGGGAAGGGCTGCAGCCGTGGGAGGGAATCCAGTCGGAGGAAGTTAGTGACCCATGACGGAGCAGTGTGGGGAACGCTGCGGCCCATGGGAGGAATTCATGTTGGAGAAAGTTTCTGGAGGACTGTCTCCTGTGAGAGGGGGACCACGATGGAGCAGGAGGAACAAGTTCCAGACACTCCCCTCACCAAAGATAAGGGAAGTGGCAGCACTGACTGCACCCCCCATTCCCTGCCCCTGTGCCCCTGGGGGAGGATAGAGATATCAGGAGCAGAGCTGAGCCCGGGAAGAAGGGAGGGGTGGGGGGAAGGTGTTCTCAAGATGTGGCAATGCTTCTCACTGTCCTACTCTGTTATGTGTTGTTAGTGTCTGTAATAAATGTATGTTCTTTTTTTTTCTTCCCCTAATGAGTCTGCCTTTTGCTCGTGATCATAAAGGGTAATTTTTTCCCCATCCCAGTCCTGTCTTGAACCCCAAGCCTGGCTCTCTGTCCCTTCTCATTGCCGGAGGGGAAGGGAGAGAGAGCTGCTGCATTGTGGTTGGCTGCCAACCAGGCCTAAACCACCACAGCCTTTTTGGCACCCAACGTGGGGCCCGAGGGTTGCGATTTGATAAGGATATTAATTGGGAGAGGTAATGAGCAAAATACAGACTGAACTCTGTTAGTGGAATGATCTTTGCAATGTCTGTAGTTGTAATTGTGAGGAAGTTTGTTTGTTTTTTTTTTTCCAGGTGTGGTGAAGGGACTATGGGTGGATGTTTTGTATTGTGTCTCAGCATTTTTTTCAATGTGATTTTTTTTTATTTGGGTGTGAGGAAGTTCTTTTCGGTCTTGTTTTGCTTTCTCTTTGTTCTGATGTTGATGTGTTGTGTATACTGTTTTCTGTACTGAATGTTGGATCTCTTAATTCTTAAATACGTGATTCGCAGAGGCGAGGGGTGGAAAAAAAGCTGGAGATGCTGGGGGTTGAACCCAGCGCCTCTTACATGCAAAGCAAGCGCTCTGGCGCCCAACGTGGGGCTCGAACCCACGACCCCGAGATTAAGAGTCTCATGCTCTGGAGTGGGGTTCGAACCCACGCGGACAATCGTCCATTGGACAGAGCTATCTTTGCTTCTGTTCTTATTACAAACTGTCTGATACGTCTTTCATCTAAATAGAAGGCTCACTCTAGCAGGTCTTGAGTCACTGCTTCTATTCTGCAGATCTGTAATATGCGGTGTACAGTAGCTACTGATCTGTCCTGAGACCTGTGCCCTCAATTTACCTGTTAAGTATCAATTCTGGGAAAAAGGAGATACTCCACTAAATATATGTATCTGGAACAATTAACTCCTACCATCCTAAAGACATCTTGCTTGCCAGTCATCTACAGTGGGTCTCCATTAGCAAATCAAGGAGAGATGGATCTTTTGTGTTAAGGTTACTAAACTCTTTGTGCTTTCCTTCTTGTTACAGTTCCTAAGCACAAGCATGGTACCTTTGACAACTGTCGTTACCTTCACTGACATGACGGAATGGCCAGAACCCCCACGAGGCCAGCCCCAAGTACACTGGAAACTCCCGTATGACTTCTTTTTCCCATTCAAGGCGGCACTGAATTTGGAAAGAAGTTACAGAAGTGATCTGGCTGGCTATTTTTTGTTGATTCTAATAATATCTAGTATTCTCTGCTTTTGAAAAGTCAAATAGACAGAGCCTGAACTTAAAGTTCAGTAAGTAAATTGATATATTCAGAATATGATCCAGATCATAGACTTTTCTCCTCAGGTTTTTATACTGTGCCTATGATATCTATGTGCCTTCTATTCTTGTATTAAGCCACATGACTAGCTTCTGTCCTGTTTCCTCTCATGCCTCTATTCTCCATATGCACCATCTGCAAACCTCACTGCAGTGAAACGCTTGAGAGATGAAAGGATCGAGAGATGGTCCGTTAATAAGGAACAAGGAGAAGGATGTGAAAATGAATATTCCATGTTCCCAGAAAACAAGTGTGCTTTCTAAACCAAGCAGTATGGAGAGAGAAGCAAAATTCAATCCATTCAGTCATCTTCCTGTTGGAGAAGCACCTGATTTTTCTACCTGAAACTAACATTTAAAATACTGGAGGCTTCCCAGGTGGCCCAAGTTGTTATTTTATGAGTAGAGGTGTCTGCCAATCACCTTCAACCTGTCCTTGTTATGACAACCATGCCTCTGTGACAGTTTGACTCTTATTTTTCTGTATCTTTTCAAATACAGATATTAAATTTAAATTTTTGTGTTTTAATCACTGTTTACATTAGAAAGTGTTACGCAAAGCAAAGTAATTGTAAATGTCCCATCTTCTGAAATTTAATTGAATTTTAGTTATTTGTCAAGATAGCTTCGTTCCTGATTTTTTTTGAAGAAACAGGCCCAAATATGGCTTTTCCTAGATAAGAAACATTCTCTTGTGGCTCCAGGTAGGAATTAGACTGATAATGATAGCCATTGAAATTCTAGGTGGTACATCAGAGACGGCTGTGAACAGTCCTAAAGAAAAAAAAACAATTATTTTAGGAAGAATTTGTAGATGTATTATGAGACTGAAGCTTATTGCAATACCTTACCTCTGGCTCAGTCTCTGGGACCAGAATGTAAGTTTATTGTTTTTGAAGTTGAAGGTGATCTTTGGATTAACTAGTCTGCCCCACTGCATCACACAGGATAAAGAAATCTGCTTGATCATTCCTTGAAGTTGGTGGACAACAGTATATTTTTTTAGCAAAGGATTTTTTATTCATCTTAAATTCTTCAGATGGAATAATCTGTGCCATCTAATGTCAAGTACTCTGGTAGAAACAATAATGGGCAAGAAAATAAAAAAAATCTGCCCTAGTTCTAACAAAATGTGTTTCCTGTTTTTGTACATATACTGTGTACAGCAACTTTGTTGCTCTGCCTCATGACAAACTTACAGACCAGTGAAAAAAACAAAAAAAAAAAACAAAAGAAACAAACAAAAAAAACAACAAAAAACTAAACCAGAAAAACTTGTAATTAGTTGGGATATCAAAGGAGATAACCTGAATAAACCAAAACCATGACCTATCTAAAACATGCAGATTATGTGGTAGCTTTACATATTTATATTTCTGATTGTTTGCATGGTTTATTAGCTTGGAAAGAATTCCGTGCTAGTGTCTGCTACTTCCATTGCTTCTGATTCTGGGGCAGCCCATGAAAACCAGCCTGAACAAGTGCATTCAAGTGTTATGTATGGCTGGTGGTATCAGTACAGCAACAAGCTTTGATTTTAGATAGACATGGCTTGTCAACTGTGCTTCTAGTATCTTTGCAAAACTTTTATCAAAACATAGTTGTAGGGTATGTCACATGTCCTCTCATGCTCACAACTTGTAGAGTCCAGGAATTTAATTTAGAGGTGACAGTAACTGAATTGAGTAAAGGGTTAGTTGGAGAAGCTTGTCAGATGTCATATCGCTAAGTGTGTCAGGATATGGCTTGAATGAAAAGGATCTCGCATCTATTTCCTGCGTTATTGAGATAATTCAGTTAGGTGACTACCGAGATTCTTTTTATTCTAAGAGCTGCAAATAGATGGAAGTGGTATAAGAATACATTACCTTACTATTGTAATTCTCTGTCATAACCCTAACCTCCAACATGTCATATTTTCTAGAGCATATTTGGCTCCTTTGATGTTTTCTCATTGCAGGAAATGGAGCTGGGAGGACCCTTATCCATAACTTGGTCAAGCCTGCTTTAAGACATGTTCAATTCTAGCCATGCTATACCACATGGATGTGGGTTTAGAGTCTGCAGTTTCCTATGACAGTTTATTGCACTGCCTATTTTGTCATGTTATGTTTTTCCCCACTGCCTGAACTTAAATGGCCTCTGTTACAATTGAGTATCAGGCAACGGTATGACAGTGTCACACACAAGGCAGACTGGTATGTTAGATATACAGAATGAGGTATTTATACTCCACGTCAAAAGACTGAGACAATGCTGCATAATTTCTCTGCTGCCATTATTCTATCTAGAATCATCTTTCCAATGTGTCCTGTTTTGAGGCAGTAAGTTTGTTTTTACACAAAGTGAAAAATGCAATTTTGGATTACAAACTAGGAGCGGAGTTACAAAAAGTCAATAAAGCGCATTGTTAGTAGCAATGTGAATTAGGCTGCTCACTGAGCTCTTAAGATCTCTCTGTAGGGTTGTCAGATTGTTGTCATGCTGTAAATAAATAGCAGTGAGTGTTTTCATTCATGCTGTCTGAAAGAGTACCACTTGGGAGTACCGCTTCTTGCGGTCTTCATAGATTCCTCCCCACCACCCAGCAAACAGAAATAGTGAGAATGTGAATTTCTGAAACAAAATATTCTGAAGTCATTCTCCCCTTCTATAATTTAAGCATATACATAAAATGCAAAGAAAAAGTTAAAGAAGTCACCTTAAAAATTTCTAAGCTCCTTAGGCTGCTTCCATTTTCTTCAGGTAATAAGTACGAGACACATTTACAGTTGTTTGCCAGGCTTTAGCCACTGTTTACCACTGTAGTGTTTGTAGCAAAAGGAGAGGTGTTTTACATACTGTGCTCCCAATGCTTGCAGCCTTCATCTGACTCAACTTACTTTTCCAATGTGTCTCTGTATATCCATATACCTTAAGAAACAATTATTATAAGAATACATAAACATTATCCTGCAACACACTTGCACTCTTCCTTACAAGATCCTATGAGACCCACGTGGCGCAGCATGCACTGTGTCACTAATGCCTCATATCAGAGGGACCTCGCACCTGAAAATTTTCCTGGAAAGTGTATTTCCCTCTATCTTTGCTTTACTCCACCTGTGCTAGAGCCTGAGTCCTACCGACATGGGTACTGGACAGTGGCAGCGAGCCAGGAGCTGACGTTGCCCAACACCAGAGCACGGCTGCCTTTCTCTCTGTCACGGTTTCAGCTTTCCTTGGAGGCCCCGAAATCACCAACCAGGCTCCAACGCCCTGCGGAGGGGCCACGTCAGCAGCGCTCGCACTCGAGGAGCACACGCGGGCTGTAACGGGAGAAAAAAGCTAATACACAAGAAACGCCTAAGCGCCTACTTCGGCAAAGCGAACAACCAAAGTCAAACGGTCCACAAGCGAAACAAAAAACCGTCCCTTCACGCGCCCTACAGCTGAAGAGGAGCCGCCGCCGCGCTGCGGCCACAAAACGAAAGGATGGGCTCCGCTCGGAGCCGGACCACGGCCAACACCGCGCGCGCGCGGCTGTACCGGGGCGGTCCTTCCGCAGCCCGCCGGGGGAAGCCCCTCCGGGCGCGGGCGGGGACACGGGCGGGCTCCGCCCCCCCGCCGGCCGGACCGGAGCTCGGGCCGCGGCTCACGTGCGCCGCGCCGCTGGGGGCGGGGCCGGGCCGGGAGCGGCGTGACGCGGCGCGCCGGGACGGTGAGTATTGCCCCGCCCCGCCCCGCCCCGCCCCGCCCCGCCCCGCCCCGCCCCGCCCCGCCCCGCCCCGCAGTAAGGCCAAGTGGACGCTGCCGGTTCCTCTCCTGGGACTGGAGGATCAGGAGCGGCCGCTGTATTGCTCGTAGCAGAGGAATGAGGACCCTCGGGGGCGTTAGCTAAGCCTTAAAACTGTAGGGGTACCCTACGTACAGTCACTGCACTGCTGCCTGCATCAGGATGGTCCCTGTTCTTTTGGTCCTCGCAAGTTTTCTAGAGCGTTGTAGACTTTGGGTCAGACTCTATTGATGGCTACAGAACATCACTACTGTGTGGAGCTACTGGCAAAGTGAAATTACAGCTTGGACACCTGCAAGCACTAGACTAATTGATAGGAGCTGCGTTGGCCTCATTATTCTGGAGCTTTGTGAGAGCAGAGCTGCTGCTCCTGTTAAGGTTTCTTTTTCTTTGCTCGTCTCTTGTGTCTACCTACAAGATTTTTCCATGCCCAAGGAAAATATTTAAAATCTCCTGGCACTTCTGTGACACAAAAGTTACTACCTAGGTTTTGAGCTGACTCTTGCTGATAAGCCTGTGTTGTTCAGTTAGTGTTTCTTCACAGGAGATATAACAGGCTCAGATCAGAGGGGTTTTTTAAAGAAACCCCATAGTTCTCTGAAAGAGGTAATAAAACTGTAGATAAAGGAGACTTAATGAGCAAAGCTTACACAGTTTTCCATAAGCCTTTAGCGAGTGTCTCTGTACTATGAAGTCAAGAACAGTTTTATTTTCTTAAATGAAAAGTAACTAAAATGCTGCCATAAATGTTTATACCTGTTCTGACTTTGTACCCTAAAAAATGATGGGTACTTAGAAGTGTTTGCCTTCTTTTTCTTGTCAGATTTGCTCTTGATGATACTGATAAGCAATTTAGAAAGGGTTAAAATGAAGTTTTCTTTTTCCTCTGTTACAAATTAGTTATATTTAGTCACTTTAGAAAGCACATTTTCTATATTTGTGTCAAATGAATAATTTCTGTTGTGTTAACTGTTTTACTGATTTGATCGTTTGCTGTACTACCTTGCTCTTCTAAGCTACTCTTTGCCAGGCCTGTTAATAAGAAGTGTATTCAGTAACAGAGTGAGCATTTTTCAGGCTTAGCCTCAGTAATTTTTCAGCTGCTCTTGTTGCATGTTGTATTAGTAGGAATATGAAAGCAATGGTATGTTTATGTTTTTCTGCAGCATCCAGGAAAGAAAACATCTGAGAGTCACTGTCAATAATACTCTGAAAAGTCAGTTCAAGGTGTAGCAAAAGTCAAAAAGCAAATAGAATGGTAGAAATTATCAGGTAAGGAATGAAGTGCAGAATAAAAGACTATATCGTGCCACTGTATAAATCCTTGCTTTGTCCAAACTTGAGTACGCTGTGCAGTTCTGGACTTTCCCTTGGGTAATATGCTATACTCTGTTTAGGATAATCGGGGAGATGGAGGAAGAGCAATGGAGATTATTGTATATCTGAAATAGCCTTGATATAAGGAGAGCAAGAGCATCCAGTACTGACTTGTTAGTGGCAGTGTGGTCTAAAGAGTTGTTGTGCTCCTCTCTTGCTGATGCTAGTACTCTCGTGATTGTACAGACAGGTGGGTCAGTTGGTCTTTGACCCGAATATTACCATGATCAAGCTGTTTTTCAGAGCGGGGTGGGAACTGTACCTTTGAGCAGGAGGGGTGGCAAAACTAGTGCATTTCTGGTGCTAGAATTGTTTAGGGACAATTTGAGCATCACAGAGAGAGGAATGAGAGGGTGGGTGCATTACAAGTCTGTAGAAACATGAGTGGTGAGGAGAAGGTAAATAGCCCCAGAGCCACACAAAGCTGGAGACCAGGAGAGTATTCAGGTAGTTTTAATTGCTTTCTTGTCCTGCCCACATACTTTATCTGGGCATCTGACAAGACCGCTCTTCTACTGATGTGTCTTATTTTATTTCTTATTTTTCCCATAAGGATTTGGGTGTCAGCTTATCATTTGTAGAAACTGAATGCCATCTTGCTTCTCCCCAAACCCCAAAGAAGAGGGAAAGACATTATAAAGGCAGAGAATAAAAAAGGAAAGGTAGGCAAAGGCATGGCTTAAAACTAAGGAACTGGAGGGAATGCTGAGCTGAGCACACACAGTTCCATGAGGTTGAGATGCTGATGAATGCTGTTGTGAGTGGTGCTGCTCTTGGAGAAATTATAGGATAATGGCTTAGAAAAAAATCCTACAGTTAGTGAATATTCCCTGGTTTCTCATAAGAAGTTGTGGCTGGCTAGCTTAACTGTTGCCAGAAGACAGTTGTTGAAGAGGTTCTACAACGGGACTTTGGATATGGAGGGTATGGTTTAAAAAGACTCTGTAGGGTGAAAAGGTGCGACTAAAGTTTCCGTAAAAGGTTCTGGAAGGGAGGCTGAGTCCCAGGGTACTAAATGTAGAAATCAGTCTTTCTCCTGAAGCATTTTACAAGAGTGCTGACTTCAGTCTACATTTTTAGATGACTTTTCATTCTGTCCTTGCATTTCCCTGGCTACAGTTTCTCCTTGTTATGAGCATATGTCCAGGTACTTGATTTGCATCTTGCTGCTTAGTGGCACTATTGTCACTCTGCTAACCATAGCTATTACAATTTTTTTTTTTTTTTTCAGTCTCCATTGCTTTTCCTGAATGATCTCTGGAAATCGTACAACCTTTATTTGATGGCTGTAGGGAAACTGGAATGGAACTGGGATGCTAGTTCTATCATCTTTATCCTTAGCTGGTAGAACCTGGTGTTTTGTTGCTCAGTGCTGAAAACAGGTGGTAGAAGAAAGTAGCCAGATTTGATCCAGGCAAGAGTAAAGAGATGGTGTTAGTTAGGAGGAAGGAAATGCTTGCAAGATGCTAACTAACCCTATCTTGAGGTTTCTTAGTGAGGAGTAGTCCTTGATTAAATTAACCTGTGTCCTTATGTTCCTCACTTAATAATATTGATTAAAGCAGCTACTCTGTGTGATTGATTTTTTTTTTTTTTTTTTTTTTTGTTAGGTGGGGAAAAATGTCTTTGCAACAAACACAGGTGTGCAATTGTGTCTAGGACTGAAGGTGGACTGTAGCGGGTGTTAATATCATTAGGACGGTTCCATGCTTTTTCTTGAAGATGGAATTCTCTTTAAGATTGCTCAGTGTTCATTGCCTTTAACTATCTGGAACCGCAGTTTTCCATTGCTCACTTCCTACTATGCTTGCTGTACACTGGGTTAAATAACTGTTGACCAGGTAGGAAATCTCGGATTCCTTGCCACTAACAAACATCCTTCCATAAAAACTACTGATTTCATGTGGCAAACGAAAGTACTGATTTAGTTTCTGTTCACTTTCTCTTACCAATACTTCCTCTATTTCAGTGTCTGAAAAAGAAAAGCAGTTCCTCGGTATTGGCAAGGGTTGAGGGGAACCTGTTGCTTTTTATTTGGAAGCACAGTTCAAAGAAATTGCATGTGCTAAATTTTGCCCAGGTGAGCCTAAAATAAGGGCATTTCTGTTTTCTTATAATCTGTTTAAAAATTGAAACGAAGGCTTGGCTTAACATAAAAAAAAATCAGCTGCTCTGATCTATCTTTAATCACAGTTCTATCTTTTTTGTGAGTGACCAACATTCTGATGTTGGTGTTGTCTTTATTCTGCAGTTACACACACCAGGTTTATCTTTGCTAATTATTGGATTGGGGAGGAGGGGAGAGCGAGGCTTATGTGTGCTATGATGATTAAAACAAATTCCACTTTTGGTGGAGATCTCCAGATAGTCTCCTAATAAAGTGATGACCTTATATTTATTTTGGGTTGGTTTGTTTTGCCTTGTGTGGAGATAGTGAAATCCTAATGTCAGATAATTGTGAGTTGGGTCTACTATTAATTCTTGAGACATTAATGTTTTTGAAAGTGTCTTGAACTCTACCCCACCACTTGAATATTGTTCACTCTTCATGAGGCTTCCTCCACAGTTGTGAGACCTTCAGAGTGTTTCCTGATCCCAGAAGGTGATGTTAGATTAAAAAAAAAAAAAAAAAAAAAAGGGCACAAAATAAACTACCCCACTAACAAACAAAAATATCCTACAAAGGAAACAAAAAAACCCAAAGACTGTATTGTAACAACATAAGAATTAGTGCTGATGGAGTTTGTTTGGATTCTAATAGGAAAATAGGAATACAATAGTGGTAAAATAGGTTTAGACAGAAGAGAGTATAACTAGTATCTGAGGGTACTTGGAGTGAGGAACTCCTATGAATTTTGTAGTGTCTGAACATGAGAAACTATAAATTTATGGCTTCTACTAATTGCAGTGATAAGAGTGCTGCAGATGACGCCAAGCTAGGTGGGAGTGTTGATCTACTTGAGGGTAGAAAGGCTCTACGGAGGGATCAGACATGCTGGATCAATGTCCTGAGCCCAGCTGTATAAGGTTCATCAAGGCTACGTGCTGGGCCCTGCACTTGGGTCCTAACAACTGCATGCAGTGTTACAGGCTTGGGGAAGAGTGGCTGGAAAGCTGCCCAGAGGAAAAGGACCTGGGGGTGTTGGTCAACAGCCAGCTGAATATGAGCTGGCAGCGTGGCCAAGAAGGCCAACAGCATCCTGGCTTGTATCAGAAACAGTGTGGCCAGCAAAAGTAGGAAAGTAATCGTCCCCCTGTACTCAGCACTGATAAGGCCACACTTTGAGTACTGTGTTAAGTTTTGGGCCCCTCACTGCATGAAAGACATTGAGGTGCTGGAGTGTGTCCAAAGAAGGGCAATGAAGCTGGTGAAGGGTCTAGAGCACAAGTCCTCTGAGGAGCAGCTGAGGGAACGGGGATTGTTTAGTGTGGAGAAAAGGAGGCTGAGGAGACACCTTATTGTGCTTTACAGCTACCTGAAGGGAAGTTGTAGCAAGGTGGGGGTTGGTCTCTTTTCCCAAGTAACAGGTGATAGGACGAGAGGAAGAGACCTCAGGTTGCAGTGGGGGAGGTTTAGATTGAATATTAGGAAAAAATTATTCACTGAAGGGGTTGTCAAGCACTGGAACAGGCTGCCCACAGGAGTGGTAGTCACCATCCCTGCAAGTACTTCAAAGAAGCATAGATGTGGCACTTGGGAACATGGTTTAGAGGTGGACTTGGCAGCTTTAGGCTTACAGTCAGACTCGATGATCTTACGAGTCTTTTACAACCTAAATGATTCTAGGATTCTCATAATTTATAAATGAATGCAAATGGGATATGGGAGATAAATGTCGAGCAAAGCCAGCACTCTTGCCTTTGTGGAGGGGTTTGGGCTACAGTGGAGAGAAAGGAGATAAAGGGCCTAAGGAGGTAAAGCCACTCTCAGAAGTTTGCCTACAGATCTCTTTCACCTGCTGCCTGCATCAGACTTCAAACACCTGAGAACAGTGAACCGAGGTCAGGGAAGCTGCGCGTGGGGGATGGCTGGGCAGCCTGTGCGGTGGGTCGGGCTGTCTGGGCTAGTCTGGGACGAGACAGAAAACAGTCGTTAATGCTGTAACTTGTACAGCCCTGGATTTTGTGCTGCAACGTGGAGAGGAGTTACATCACCCGCTGGGGCAGCAGGACGGCAGGGTGCGCGTGCCGGTGGGCGGGGCCGCGCCGCGTTGCATCAGCCGGCGGTTGGCTCCCCGTCCGCGCGTGCCTCGCTGATGTGGCGCCCGCCGCTGCGCGGCGGGGGATTGGCTGCGGCGGGTCAGGTGGCTCTGCCTCGCGCGGCGAGGCCGGCGCGCGGGCCCTCTGTCGCGCGTGGCGTCTCGGCAAGCGCCGCTCCTCTGAGGGATCCGCGCGGCGGGAGCGGTCGGGGACGGGGATCCCGGTGGGCCGGAGTGCTTGGGCAGGAAGCGACGCCTGTGGCTGGCGCTGATAAATGCGCAGCAAGTCATTTGTCTGCCGTTGCATTTTGGTAAGCAAAGCTTCCTGTCTGTTCTTGAGCGGGTTCTGCTGCTTGTCCCTGTTGTGAATCGCTCAGGTCCTCAGCTTGCCCTTTCCAGGACACGCAGCTGGAGGCCCCAGTCCTGTCTCTAGCCCTGCTTGTGCTGCTTAGCCTATTTATGGACAAGGTATAACAAAAAGGAATAATACTGAATTTCTGCAGATGGTATCTTTTGAGACACTCGGGTTGCACAGTGTTACAGCAGTTCTGCCAGGCCAGTCATAGGGGTTTATTTCGCTGCACGAGGCAATGTCAGTAGATGCAGACTGCTGTGACCACACTGTCCTGCTGGAATGGATTCTTGGTAGAAAAGAATTGCATGGTACATGTTGCTTTGAATTGCCTGTTCTCTGTGCCTATAACTTCTACAGAACCTGGGCAAAGCTATTTGGGAATTGTTCTAAAGACAGTTTATTTGAAGCTTTTCATTATTTTGGTTCTTCTGAACTGGCTTCCCTCTGGAAAGGTTTATTGGTTTTTTGTTTGCACTAAGAGCTGCAGATTTACTTATATTTTTAATTACAAAAGTTCTAGTTGGTAAGGTAACAAAGCCCCCTGAATGTTTCAGATGACTTATTTGTGTTATGTTAAAGACTTACTTCATTATACTTGTGTACATTTTGTTGGAACTTGATTTATCTCTGCTTATTTGCTTAAGTGTAGTATAGCATAGCTCTTTCTATAGGAGTTTGGTTTCCGGATTTTTTTCACTTGTGGAATGTCCTAAGACTCAGTTGAGATATTGGCCTTTATATATATAAAACTGTGAAAAAAGTTTATTTAATTTTATCAGCTCACTGCAAATAGTTGTGGACATTGCATGGGCCTGCAGCCAACAGACTAAAAAATCACTGTTAAAGGTTGTTGTTAAAGGTACCAGTCTGCTCTGAGTCTTGTCTGCCTCATCCTGTCAGTGGTCAAGACTGGCATTTCAGATGAACTACAGAATTGGAGGGACATTGCAGATTATACAGGATGGCATTTTAACAATATTAATCTTTACTAGACAAAATGGGAGAACCATTACCTGTTGGTGGCTGCCTAGTCTTTTGCAGAAGTGCATATTTTGGAAAGGATTATAATGAGGTATAATAACAGTACACTGATGCAGGGTAATGAAGCAACTTCAAGTGTTCATGTGCAGGTATGCCAGAACTGCCAGGTGCTATAATTGTCACTGTATTTGTAATAGTAGTCTTCCAGTGTAGTTACTTTGAGCTCATCTTGTCCTCTCTTCACTACTTTCTCCCTACTACAGCTTCTGTTATTTGCTCTATTCCAGTGGTACGGAGGGATGGATTGAAAGCAAGTAAAGGAAGCAAAATTTTGTAAAAGGATGAGGGGCTTCATGGCTTAAGCACTGTCAGGGAGAACTGGGTTGTTGTTACTCTCCGTTGTTTCCTTTGTGATACTGGATGCATCACTTCAACTAGTCATAGTCAACTTGTCATAGGAAATTGCTAATTTTGTATCCCTTGTTTGCTGGGTACTTGCTCTATTGAATTTTGAATTCCAAGAATCCCGAGTATTGACAAGTTTAGTCAAGGGAAACTAGTGCCAAATACCTTGGAAATTGGTGTCCTTACTTGTAACCATGGTTAACATCTTGTCATTCGGTAGTGCTCGGGAAAAAGTGAATCAGATTATCTTCTGTACTGAATAGAGCTGAGATTCATGAGGTGTAGGTATAGTAGGTGCTCTGTCATGGGATGTACAGAGAAATCTGGTTGATACCACCGCTACACTTTTTTTTTATTTTTTTTTTTTTCCTTCCAGGCTTCTCTGCGGACAAAGTTATGACTTTTCTTCAATGTAGGTACACTCACTAATAGTCTTTTCCCTCCACGAGGAACCATGGTTTGTCCTTGATCTTTAATAATGATCTTCTGTCAGCAGGTAGGGAACAGGGGCCTTCAGTTTTTTTAAGTCACAGTCTGAGAATTCTGCAAAATGGAGAGACTGGGCTGTCAGTCTCTTGCACAAGGAAATTGCATTAAGACTGTACAGGACAAAGAGGACTTGGGGTGGAGGGGCAGGTGAGGAGAGAAATAGAGATGGAAATTCACTGATATTTAACCAGTTTTCCCCCTTCCTCCCTTCCTTTTAACTTACAGATATCCTTGATTTGCAGAAGGCATCTCAAAATGTTGTGTCGAGCAGCTCTGAGCCCTCTTGTCCGTTCATCTGGATGGTGCTTTGTGTTATCGCCACATGCCATCGCAGCCATTTCCCGTTTATGTATGTATGAGAGAAAGCACATGTTTGTAATAATGTTGGTTAGTATATGTCTGGGCATGTCTATTCTCTTTCCTGTGTTGAAAGAAAAATCATCTCATTAACATAATTCAAAATTTATAACCCCCTAGAGTGAGCTGCAGTTGAAGCTTTGCTTTCTTAATGTTTTCTCCCTTAACTCAATAATACTTGGCTGGATGTCTGAGAGGGTCTATTTTTCATTCCGATGTGCATTTCAAGCAAAAAAAAAATCAGTTGTGAAGGTACCGCTACTGTAAGAATTCTTTATTTCAACCTCATACATTCCTGAAAAACAAGAATTGATTATGCCGGCACCCCCATCTGAGTTTTCAGCCCACTGATGTCTTGAGTAAAGTAAGGTGTGAAGCTCAAATTCATTTGGATTAGATAAAATTGGAAAGATGCTTGCAGGAAGCCTGAGTGTAAATATATAGATGCCCTGTAAATAGCTGTTCCCTGAAAACCTAACTTGAGAGAACCATTCACTGTCTATTTGACTAGTGGTCTGAAATAGAGAAGTCAGGGATAGACAGACTGTATTAGATCAAGAGATTAACTGTTGCTTGCAAGATTAATTTCCCATTGGTCTGTGTGTGAACAGTTCTCTTTTGTTAATATTTATATGAATTAATGTTGAAATCTTGAAAACGCTAAACTTTCTGGCTATAGCTCTGTTGACTTCTGCATTTGCAGTACTTTTAAATATTCTGTATTTCCCAAATTCAGTAAGCTACTCATAGGTAACACTATGAAAATTGTTCCTTAGTATTGACAGTAGCCAGTATCCAGTGTTGGAGTGACTCCGGTTACTTCATCAGTTGCATTTTAAAGCTGGATTGAGCGTTCATCACAGTTTCATTTTGTTCTCCACTGTTTATGTTGTGATCCTGTTCAGATCGTTTGTGTTTTGAAATTCTGCTTCTTAACCCCTTTGAAGCAAGCCTCATGCGTGTTACATAAAAGGATCTGCAGTGCCAAATATTTAAGTCTTTTTCATATGTTTCCCCTTCTTTATTAAGGAAGTGAAATTGTTGACAAGATACTGGATATAAAAACTGGAATGCCTAGAAACCTATTTGTCCAAAAAGTTGACTGGATGGCTATATTGGTTTCTCCCTAATTGCATATGAGTCAAGTTAATGGGCTTGCATCACCAGAAATGTTTTGTTTATGTAATGTGGGAGCTGATACCACAACTCAGTCCAGTCTAACTGGCTTGGGGCCAGTCTAACTTGCCAGTCTAACTAGGCTTGAGGCATCGACCACCCCTCCAGGAAGCCTGTTCCAGGGTTTGACCAACCTCTCGATAAACAAATGTTTCCTCATGTCCAGTCTGAACCTCCCCTGACGCAGCTTTGAACAATTCCCACGTGTCCTGTCCCTGGATCCCAGGGGGAAGAGTTCAGCACCTCCTGCTCCATGTCCCCTCCTTAGGAAGCTGCAGAGAGCAATGAGGTCGCTCCTCGGCCTCCTTCTCTCCCATCTAGACAAACCCTGTGTCCTCGGCTGCTCCTCACAGGATGTGCTTTCCAGCCCTGTCACCTTATTTGCTGCCCTCCTCTGGACACATTCGAGGACCTTCACACCCTTCTTAAACTGTGAGGCCCAGAACTGCACACAGTACTCAGGGTGAGGCTGCACCAGCAATAAATACATCAGGATAATCCCATCTTTTGACTGTCTGGTTATGCTGTGTTTGATGTACCCCAGAATGCGTTTTGCCCTCTTGGTGCCGGGGCACACTGCTGGCTCCTCCTGAGTCTGCTGCTGACCAGCACCCACATATCCCATTCCACAGGGCTGGTCTCCAGCCACTCCTCTCCCAATTTATACTTGTGTCCAGTGTCCCCAGTGCAGAATTCAGCATTTGTTCTTGTTAAATTTCATGCTACTGATGATTGATTGCCCAATGCTCCAATCTGTCTACATTCCTCAGCAATTCTACTGATGATACTAAACTGGGAGGTGCTGTTGGCTCTCCCTAGGGACAAGAGGCCCTTGCGAATGGTACAATCAACCCCTGCATCCAGATCATTGATAAAAATATTGAATAGCACTGGCCTTAGGATTGAGTCCTGAGGAACACTGCTGGTGGCCAGTCACTAGTCAGATGTAGGCCGATTTGCTGCAACCCTTTGAGCCCTGCTGTCCAGCCAGTTCTTCACCCAGCACACTGTGAACTTGCTCATGTCAGTGCTGAACAACTTGTCCAAAAGGATGCTCTGAGGAACAGTGTGAAAAGCCTCCCTAAAATCCCCAAAAATGACATCCACCACCTTCCCTTCATTCACTGGGTGGGTGACCTTATTGTAAGAAGATACCAAATCAGGTAGTAACAGGACTTTCCCATTGTGAACCCATGTTCGCTGTGCCTGATGATTGCATTGTTCTTTAAATGCCTTTCAATAGCATCCAGTGTGGTCGTCTTCATAATTTTTCCATGAATGTATGCCATCTTTTGACTAAGTTGCCTTTTCAGTCCCAGCGTGTAGTCTCAGTAGCCATTTTTTCTGTAATTACATCAGAAGTGTTCTCCTTTTTTGCTATACTGGTATTTTTGAGACTGGCTAAAAGTTGAGCTGATTCAATGCAGTTTCTGAATAGTAATACAAGAAGAAATAGATGGAGGATAAGGAAATGTGGTTTCAAATATTTTTCATGTAATATGGTTTGTCCATAGTGTATTAATTATCCAATTGACACACTTGGATTGTAGGCATTCTTATCTGGATGACTTGTTTTTCAGACACGATTCACTGTGGCTCTGCAAAACTTCATATGAAGTGTGCTAGAAGTACTTTCTATCTGCCTTCATTCCTTCAACTTAACTTTGGGACTGTGTGTGCTTGGGTCCACTTCTTTGTCAATTAGAAAGGATAGAGGCTGTTCCTTGTGATTGTACCTTACTAGGCACTACTCCCTTTAATCTGCTATGCTGAGAGTGGTCTTACTGTCCTTTGCAGGAATTTTGAAAACAAAGATTTCGCTGAGAAATGTTCCCTAGCTCACTGACTCGGACAAAGTGCCAGCCTTATGTATCTTGTATCTTACGCAAGTAATGCTGTGACTGTCTCTTGTCCCTTCGATGCCTATTTATGTTGTAGGTAGGAGACTTCCAGTTCACATGTCCGTCATCCCCTTTCTGCTGCCTCTAGTTTGAGCAACATGAAAATACCTGACTCAGATGTTGTAAAAGCTGTGTTTCTTTTCTTTCTTAACAGTCAAGATTTCTGCACTACTACAGACAGGAAAACTCTCTAATGAGGCAAGGCAAAAGAGATTGTTTTCAAAACTACTACTTCTGATGTGAGCTGTATGGGCTCTTTTACAGTGTCCTTCAGTTTGATCTTTTAGATTCCCAGAGCCAAAGCTCTGTGACACATGGGATATTATCTTATATACCTTAGGGATGGTTACTACTGCTCAGATATTATTGGTTCTCACTTTATTTTGGTGACTTGAAAGCTAACTTCTCATTCCCTGTCACCAAAACCAGTGTACTGTAAGCTTTAGCCTTGGAAAGGGAGGAAATATCACATGACTTCAAGGGCTTAAAGTCTCAATGAAACACTTTAAACAGCAATTTTATTTTTTTTTTGTCTGTATGTCTTTTTCCACAGATCTCCCTCACCATAACCGAAGATTAAAGAATGAATCCATCCGTTGTTGGAGCAACATCCCGTTTATCACCATGCCACTGAGCCGTGCACATGGAAAATCGTTTGCACACCGCAGTGAGCTGAAGCATGCAAAGCGGATTGTAGTGAAGCTAGGTAGTGCTGTTGTGACTAGAGGGGATGAGTGCGGCTTGGCCCTTGGGAGGCTGGCATCTATTGTAGAGCAGGTAATTCAGTGACTGAAGTGGAATGTTTGTTTTAACTTCAGATACTTGGTGATTGTTGGATGGCACAGAAGACTAGAAAAAACTCATAAAACGGTGATGGCATTTTAAAGCAATGTGTTGACCCTTCCCTTTTTCATCTACGTGTGCTGTGGTAGCATAAAGCATGTAATTCAGTAAATCTGTGTTTGGCGGTGTGGTGGGTTGACCCCAACCAGCAGCTAAGCACCCACAGAGATGCTTGTTTGCTCTCCACACCTCCATCCCACCACTAATCAAATTAGGAAGAAAATAGGAGGAGCAAAAGTAAGAAAACTCATGGGTTGAAATAAAGACAGTTTAATAAGTGAAGGAAAGGGGAAAAGAAATAAGCGATGCTAAGGCAATCGCTCACTATCTTACACAAGCAGACCGATGCCCCAAGTGACAGCCAGCTTGGGAGGCAACCCGCTGCCCTTTCTTATTCTGCTACCCCGGTTTTATTACTGAGCGTGACATTATATGCTATGGAATGTCCCTTTAGCTAGGTCATGTCAGCTGTCCCAAACGTGTCCTCTCTGAACTTCTTGCCCAGCCCCTACCCTAACTGCTGTGATGGGACACAGTGGGAAAAAGAAAGCCTTGGTGCTGTGCATGTACTGCTCAGCATGGGAAAAATAGAAGGCTTTGCTATGCAAGTACTATTTAGCAATAGGCAAAACAATGGAATGGTATCAACAGTGTTTGAGTCCTGAAATCCAAAACAGCACCTTATGGACCCCTATGAAGAAAGTTAACTCCATCTCAGCCAGACCCAGTATAGAGGGAGAGATTTGCACAGTGAGATTTTTATGCAATATTTAAGACATGACTGGGACATTAGTTGGATCTAGTAGTTTGTGAAGTCAGCAGAAGGAGTAGACCCTTCTTGATTACCTGAGCATTTACAGATTTCCTCCAGGAGAAAGCTTTAAACCTCGTAGGAAAAACTGTTGGGATCAACTCGTGGATTGGTTCTCCAAAATGAAATTATAACCTCTGGGGGAGATTGGATATGTCTTCACTGGGAAGTAAAGTTAACATAATAAATTAATTTATCTAAGACATTTAGCTTTAGAGCTTTGAAAGGAATCTGGCCAGATGTATGTAAGAAAGAAGTAATTAAAAGCTGTACTATCAGAGTTAGCTTCTTCACTTCTAGAATACTAAGTTACTGTATAATGGCAACTTTGAGAATGGGTGGTGAATAAGAAGGTTGGTGGAAGGTACAGCTGCTGTTTCACAGCCTTTTCATATATTTTCTTACGTGTAGCAATGGAGATGGTGGGGTGAGAGACATAGAAGTGTTAGTATGTGATATGTATTGTGAAAATTCCAGCATGATTGTCATAAAAATAAGTATTGTGAAAAGAAAGTTTAGCAGAAGCTATAGATTATGTGCAGTCCTTTGCATATCTGCTAAGTGGCTAGGAAGGTGTGCAGGAGCATCTTAGAGGGTGGTTGCCTTGCATTGCTTATCCATGGATAAAGTGAAATACTTGTGTCAGCAAGAACTGGTGAGCGTAAGGTTATCTATAATAGCCAGAATTGTCATGCTAGCAGTGGTCATACTCCAGGCCATATTTCTTATGTTCTATAATTACAGGTGTCAATGCTGCAAAATCAGGGCCGAGAGATGATGATTGTCACCAGTGGTGCTGTAGCTTTTGGAAAGCAGCGATTACGTCATGAGATCTTGCTTTCTCAGAGTGTGAGACAAGCGCTTCATTCAGGCCAGAGTCAGCTAAAAGATATGGTGAGTGGCTGGCAGCATTCCTGCTTTTCCTTGAATGTTGGGTGGTACCTGCTCAAGTCACTGCCTGACAGCTGTTCTTTATCTTTGTAGGCTATTCCAGTCTTGGAGGCCCGAGCCTGTGCTGCAGCTGGCCAGAGTGGACTAATGGCTCTGTACGAGGCCATGTTTACGCAGTACAGCATCTGTGCAGCTCAAGTAAGGGATTCCTTCTTTCCTAGACTGACTTGCTACTTCAGTCAGTGATGGAATGGTTCTTGGATTTTTTCCATGTTTTATATGCTGTTGTCTTTACTGTAGTCTTGCATTTCCATTGCCATCCTAGTTCAGGGGCTTATTATTGTAGCGTAAATGGTAGCTTATACAGGAGTGCCTTGCTAAGTATTTCTGAAATGGAGTTATCTATCATCAAAGTGAAACAAATAGGCTTTTTCTTTTTGGAGTTCATATGTGTCCTGCTCTTGTGTATGGGGCAGGTGGTGGTGGTGTCTTCTAAACTCTCTTCACAAAACCTAAAGTTGGTGATCCAAAGTGAGTGTTTAAAAATCACAAGTGGCTGAACTGTCACACATTCTGTAAAGCTGACAGAAGTCCATATCCACACTTCAGAACTTGCTGTCCATATGTTCCTTAAAACTTTCTAATTTGTGGGTGATGGTATCCCTAGCCTGGGTCTTCTACCTATACTGCATGCTGCAACTGTATTAATTGAACTACTCTTAAACAGGCTTTGCTGATCTTGCAATTCTGTATTCTCAGAGTATTTATCAACTATAAGGCCTTATTTGTCTAGACACTTCCAATTAATTTAGGAGCCTAGTATGAAGTCTGGCTTGGAAGAAGTTCTTGTAATACAGTATAGCTGATATCACTAAAATGTTTGCAGTATAGCTAACAATCACTATAGGTTGTGCTGGATTATAATCTTTTTTGAATCTGTAAACAGCTATCATTCCTTCAATTTAAAAGAATGACTTGCCCATGACAAAAACATCAGTGTGCACATTGATTCAAAGTGCTGTTGTAACATTTGTGTGGTGTAGTTGTTGTGTGCAGGAGGCTTTAAGACCAAGATTATTTCAGAAAAGCAAGTGAGTTCTAGAGCTGAAGAAAAGTCATGAGACAAAGCATCATTTCTGCTTGCAACAGTAGAAACATTACACTGGGAGAAGAAACAGGAGAGGCAGTGTCTTGAGTAATCTGTTGAACTGTTTAGGATTTTAGTAGTTATCATCAGCATTTATGTTCTGCTTATGATTTTTTTTCCAAGTTGATTCCTGGAGCCTGTGATCTGTCAGCTCAAGAAAGGCCATTATAGGTTCCAGTGGAAGTTAAGGCGTATAAACCTGAAAATGTGCAAAGAATATCTTTCACTTGTATTTTTTAGCCTTTAAATGCGGCTCATGTTTCTTTAGGGACCTGAAGGGCATGCCTGATCTGTTATGGTATGTTAATACCTACGTTTATGATGTTCTTCTCGGGAAAAGTGGTAGGCTAAGTATGTATTAATTTCTTGTTCCTCCTTTTAGATTTTAGTCACCAACCTGGATTTCCATGATGAACAGAAGCGTCGGAACTTAAATGGAACATTGCATGAGCTTTTAAGAATGAATATCGTCCCCATAATTAACACTAATGATGCGGTTGTCCCACCTCCAGAACCGAACAGTGATCTGCAGGGGGTAAATGTGGGTAAAGTATTGCAAGGGGCTGGATCCTGCTTGTAGATGGTACAACACTAATGTGTATTTCACTAATGCCATAACTGGGGACCTGTGAAACCTGCATCAGGGAAAGAAACATACAAAACTAGTAATGTTGACAGAGTATTGGAAAACTATGGTGACCTGTATGTTTCTGGTGTGATACAGTGTGCTGTGGGATGAAAGCAGGAGAAATGATGTCTACTTTGCCAAGAGCAAGCATGCCCAGTTTAGTTTTCACTGAATAGTTGAAGTTCGAAGGGACTTCTGCAGGTTCTCTAGTCCAGCGCCTCCACTTAAAGCAGGCTCAGTTAGTACCTCTTGTCCTGTCACTGGGCACCAAGGTAGAGAATTCAGGTACTGATCACACTGCTTTTTTATTTTGATATTGCTTTACTGGGTTCCAAAAGCATATGTGCTTTAACGCAAAGATCACCTTCTAAGTTTCCACTTAGTGGGTGTGAAGAAAGTAGCTCAGAAGGACTTGGTAGTGCCGAGTTAGCTTGCTTTTGTGTGTTGCAGCCAAGTGTTTCCTAGTTCCTCCTGCTATTCAGTTCTGCTGATATATGCATGTGCACTGCAGGTGATTAGTGTGAAGGATAATGACAGTCTAGCAGCGCGACTGGCTGTGGAAATGAAAACTGATCTCCTGATTGTTCTCTCAGATGTAGAAGGTTTGTGGATTCATTTTTTTACTTTCTTGTTTTATTGAAGTACATCAGATAGTCAAACCAACCCGTGTTCAGGTTTTACTGATCACTTCAGTTCATATATTTTACAGGGACAATTAGAATGTACCACATAACTCCTTAAGGCATATACCTTAAGGCATATACAGCTGATGCTGTTGTATAAGCCAGGCTGTCTACCACACTGTTGAATCTGGTTGGGTGAGAATGCATGTGAACTTGAGGCTTGTTCCAGAAGCCAGAATACTATATGTACTATGGTACTTCTGCTAGCTTCTCAGAATTTTATGATATAGTCGTGAGTAATATGCAGGATAAAGGCTGTGTGTTTAGAATCAGGAGTCTAAGACAAATACTATTGTACAGTAGTTTGTTTCTTCTGGCAGCAGGTTCTGTTTTCAGTGAATTATAGGTGCATTACAAGTCCTGGTCATTGCCTTCCAGATACCAGACACTTGCTAGATTTTTCTCTCCCAGACATTTGGCTTACACTGTTCTGGTCTTCTGAGATGTGCTGCCTTGGCATGAGTCTGTCACCTATGGATGCTGAAGTTCTTTTCCTAGAGAGAGGAGGATAGTGGGTGCAGTTTCAGATCAGTGCAGTCCACATCACCCCAGTCACATAGTCTTTTCCTTTTCTTCAGATGTGTTTCTTTCAGAGAATCCTGGACTTCGGCACATATTGTAGGCCCTGAGGAAGAAGGAGGTGCCTTCCCATAAACACAGTTTCTTTTACCAGATTCAGCTGGATTTCATGGTTGATTCTAGTTGAAACGACTGCCTGAGAACACCTCATCAAAGCAGTAGTCAAATCAACTTGTAAAAAACATTAACTGTCAACACCCCCATCCTCCAGGCGTATTCGATGTGACATCTTGTTTATGGAAAGTTGTGTGTCTTTTCCTTCCCAAGTTATCAAGGAAGGACACAGATAGTCTGCACTTGTGCATTCTAATTTGTAATGCTAGTATTCGTTCACACAGAATTTCTGGGAAGTGTGGTGGTAGAGTTTAATGTGTTAAGTAAACAACGTCGTCATTCAGCTCCAAACATAGTTACATAAAATTACTAGGTTTTTAAAAAAAATAGTAAGAGTATGTCTCCGTAGTGTTGTGTCCGTCTTAGCAGAATTTGATAGCTACCCTTTTTACGTATTTCTGAATTGCCTGATTTATCACCATACATCTCAGCATTCAAAAACATCATCTGAGATTTTTGTGAGGAGCACTATCCTTTGCCTGTTCAGTTGTGGGCTTGTATATGTAAGCCTGACTTTGAATATATAAAAGCTGTAAACTGTTTCTCTAACGTCAACCAAATGTCACTACCTCCCAGCTTGTGTGCTGCTATTCAGCATGTGGGTTTTCCATTCCTTACTTGTTAAGCTTTCGGTAAAGCTATATCCCTTGAGTCTGCCTGTTAAGTGTTTCATGCTTTCAGTCCTACAAAGAGTGGGGTTCAGTGACAGTTTTCAATCCTGTAAAGTGGAACACAGCTTTTCAGCCTCTTGGATTTTTTTTTTTTTTTCTATTACATGGTGAGCTTTGGAGATGAGGGTATATAACACTAACAGATTTTCATTTCAGGACTCTTTGACAGCCCTCCAGGATCAGATGATGCAAAGCTCATTGACATCTTCTACCCGGGAGACCAGCAGTCTGTAACATTTGGAACCAAATCCCGAGTGGGAATGGGAGGCATGGAAGCCAAGGTAGAAATATAGAACATTTGTTTTGTTATTGGGAAGGGAAGAAAGATGTGGGAAAGGGAGATAGACAAGTTGACTGTGCTGCTGTTCAGATGAATCTTGGCAGGCTGCAGAAATGTCAGACAGGAACCTTCTGGAGTTCAGTAATGGAAAATGCCATGTCCTACACCTAGGGAGGAACAACTCCATTTACTGGTATTGGCTGGGGAGTTGACTGGCTGGAAAGCAGCCTCACTGAAAAGCATGTAGGGGTTCTGGCAGACACCAAGTGAAATGTGAGCCAGCAATATGTCCTTTGCATGAAGCAGGCCAGCAGCACCCTGGGTTGCATTAGAAAGAACATAGCCAGCAGTTCAAGGGAAATTATTATTTCCCTCCATTCAGTCTACTAGTGAGACAACATCTGTAGAGTTGTGTCTGGTTCTGGACACTGTGATATAAGAAGGACATGGCATACTACAGTGAATCCAATGGGGAGCCATGAGTATGATTAAAGATATGTAGCGTCTGTCACACTAGGAGAGGCTGAGAGCTAAGATTGTTTACCCCAGAGAAGATAAGGTTTGTGTATAAATACCTGAAGGAAGGATGTAGAGAAGTCAGAGCTAGACTCTTCTCAGTAGTATCCAAGGATAAGAGGCAATGGGCACAGACTGAAATACAGGAAACGAAATTGAAATGTGTCATGGTTTGAGATCAGAGGGCAACTGAGCACCATCCGGCCGCTCACTTCCCCCTTCCTCCCCAGTGCTGAGAAGAGGAAAATAAGCCGGGATTGGGATTCGAGATAGGACCGAGAGGGGCAAATCACCCATTATGGTCACAGGCAAAAGGCAGACTCGTTAGGGGAAGAAAAAAAGAACATGGATTTATTACAGATGCTAACAACAACACTTAACAGAGTAGGACAGTGAGAAGCATTACCACATCTCAAGAGCACTTTACCCCCAACTTTCCCTTCTTCCCAGGCTCAGCTCTGCTCCCAGTATCTCTGCCTCCTCCCCCCAGTGGCTCAGGGGCAGGGAATGAGGGGTGCAGTCAGTGCTGCCGCTTCTTCCATCTTCAGAAGGGAAAGGAACTTCTGGAACTTCGTCCCCCCTCTCACCGGAGACACTCCTCCACAAACTTTCTCCGACATGAGTCCCTCCCATGGGCTGCAGCTTCTCCCTAGCTGCTCCGGTGTGAGACACCCCCACATGCTGCAGTCCTCCCAATGCTGAACTACAACAGCAGGGGCTACTGCTTCCCACAAGATCCCAGCCTCCTTTGGGTGTAGACACCTTAGTTGGCCATGCGAGGCCCCTCACAGGCCATAAATCGGTGTCTGCTCTACCGTAGATCTGCGGGGGTGGCTGCCCTGCTGTCTCACCACAGAATACAGGGAGAGAGTCTCTGCTCCAGCACACCTCCCCACTCCTTTCTTCCTCTGTTCCTCCACTGCCCATGGTGTTCATGCAGCTGCCACAAGTCTGACTCCTCACAGGTCTGACTCCTCCTCACCAGGTCCATTCTTAAATACATTATCAAAGAGGCACAGCTGATTGGCTCGGCCTTGGTGCAGAGGTAGGTCTGACTTGGATCTGGGAGAGCTTCGAGAAGCTTCTCACAGGGGGCCACCACTGTAGCCCCCTCCCCTGCTACCAGAAAAACCCGACCACTCAAACCCAGGGCAAAACATAAGAATTTTATGATGAGGTTGCTGAAGCACTGGAGCAGGTTGCCGAGAGAGCTTGTGGAATCTCAGTGTTTGGAGATGTTCAAAACCCGACTGGACGGTGTCCTGAGAAACTTGCTTTAGTTGACCCTGCTTTGAGCAGGTAGTTGGACTATATGATCTCCAGAGATCCTTTCCAGCCTCAGTTATTCTGTGAGTATCCTGGAATAGTGTATGGATTCCTTTAGCTTCTCTTTTAGATCCATGTGAATTGAAAAGAGCAGCTAATGAATTACATTTCAGTAGTTTATGAAATGTGACATTTGGAACTGTATTAAGTTGGTGTTTTAAATTAAGAGTCGGTCCTCACTCTTTCTTATGTGATAATCCAAAGACTTTAGGAATTCTTGTCACTTGCATCTGGTATGATACCTTTGTCTCTCTTCTGAGTTTGCACATGTGCTCTTTGCTTCTGAAGGATATATTGGTGGAGACAAAGGTACTTTAGTTCTTGAGTACAAGATTAGTAGAGGTAGGAGGGTCAATGGTTTTTAGTTCTGTGTACAGTTGGATGCCCTCGGTGTTCACTGCTGTGAGTGCATAAACATGGGTGTGGTGTAAGACTTCAAGTCTCATGATAGGGTATGCACTACAGTAGTATTAATTGGTGTGTGTTTCCTAAGGACCCTTCTGGAAGGTTGTCTGTAAAAACTGAAGTAGATTTTGACTAATCAGGGAAAGACCAAAATGAAATTCTTCACCAGTTATCTTACGTTTTATATCCTTTTCTGAAGAATCAGGTAAGACATATTTCAGTGTCAGAGCATGGACTGGAAGGTGGCAAAAAGAGGTGGCATTTGGGTGTTCTGTTTGTAACTATGGGATGTACAGAGCTTATTTAGAAACAACTCTCCCTTGATCTGGCTTCTGGAATAGTTTAAACTAATTCAGGTGCTGAGGGGAAAGCTGCCAAGGTCAGAGAGTTCTTGTATTATAAAAACAATAATCTGTTAAAGGTATGTGGTGTGTCTCAGTCTGAGTCAGAGGCAAATCTCAGTGCTGCTGTTGTAACAAATTGTTTCAGTTGAAAATTGATAGGTGATATTGTTAGGTGATATTTTTGGAAAACTGTAACATCAGTAATAGAATAAACAGATGGTAGTGAAAAGTACGAATCTTGATTATCAGCATGAAATTTGAGGAAAAATGGAGCAGTTGATGGGCCTGTGGTAGTCCCCTTTGATGTGACAGGCGTATCTGACAGGTGGTGTCTCCCAGTGAATCTGGGCTGTAATATGCAATTGTAGAACCATATTAGGAAAGTGTAGAAGTGCAGAATTGGAGAAGCTTTTGCAATAAAATAATTGACATGTAATTAAATATAGTGGTGGAATAATGCTGCTTACACCTCAATCGGGTAAAGAAAAGGAGACCACAGGCGATACCTCTTCATCAGGTAACATGTGGGATTTGGTTTTGTATTTTTGTATTTTGGCACGAACCAGTGAAATGTTGGAGGGGGGAGATTTTAGAGAAATGATTTTGTGATGCCTTACAGAATGGCTCACGTGTGTGGAAAGGGGCTAACTTTAGGACTAATTAGTACATGGGGGATTTCAAAAAGCCCTTACTAATAAGCTAGTCCTACTGTAAATTTAACAATCTGTAGAAGGACTAAGCAAACTTCAGTACGCCAACACGGAAGTTCAGAAAGGGAACTCATGTTGCCCTTCATGTTAGGGCAATGCCTATAAAGATACTGCCCCTAAATTTCATAGAGCTCTTGTTGAACATGGTGCCTGCCTCCCCACCAACCCTCCATGACAGCCTTTAGCACACAGATGATCCGGTAGTATCACTGATTTAAGTTCCCATCTGCCTGTGGACATCAGATTGTTCTCGTTTAAGCCTTGCTTCTTGCCCTAGATCTTACGTGTCTTGCTTCTATACGTTGCTTAATACGCTGTAGTCCTGACCTTTGAAGATGACTCCTAAATGCTATACTTTATAAAATTCTCCTCCGAATGCTCTACTTACAGAATCCTCCTCCAAAATAACAACAAAATGCCAAATAAAAAAGCATATAATTCAAAACTGAAGAAGGTCAAAGTCTTTAAATAGAGCTTACTGAAGGAACAACTATTAAGACAATGGGTGTACTCCCAAGCAAAAAGTAGAAGCAAATAAATAAAAAGTCCAATGAGAACATGAACAGGAAATGTGAACAAAGTAGGTAGAAATTTTGTGTAGAAACCAGAGTAGCTCTTCAGCAAACTTCATAGCTTCACCAAAGGGTTATAAACAGTGAGAATACCTCTGCATTTTAACCAGACCCATGAGGAGTGCTTAGGCTGATCAAACTTTAAGGGAGTAATTCAGACAGATAAAGGTACTGAATAATATTTTAATGTTATATGGTAATGGCTAGGACCTGAGCAAGAATAGCGCTCCACAGTACAAGTAATATCACGTGGTCACTTAAAGTGGATTAATTGCTGATAGTTGATCAGTGTCAGTGAAATTGGCAACAGAATCTTTTCGAAAAAGAAAATTGTGTTTCTTCAAACAGTAAGAATTTGCAACGTACGGTAATGGTGAAAAAGAACATATGATCAAAGTGCCCTTGCAGAAATCTTGAAAAAAGCAGGGTGTTAGGAAAATTTGCAGTATGTTCATGAAGCGACAGCTAGTTAAGGAAAGGAGGGTAAAGCACATATATGATCTCCTTCGGTGCTACATTATGAAAATTTATGGAGTGTGTTGAATGTTCTTTGCAAGCATAAGTGACCAGTCTGGAGATCAGAGTGGAGCAAGAAGTTTTGTTGAGAGTGGTGATTCAAATAACAAATTAATTTCCTGGAACTGACTTTATCCTTTACTGTAGGTGAAAGCAGCTCTGTGGGCCCTCCAAGGAGGCACCTCTGTGGTGATTGCAAATGGAACCCATCCGAAGATCTCAGGTCATGTCATCACAGATATTGTGGAGGGGAAAAAAGTTGGAACTTTTTTTTCAGAAGTAAAACCTGCAGGTGAGTGCATTGAGATTTGTAGAGATTTCCTGAAAGGTTAGAGTTAAAATTTGGCTAGAGCTATACAAAAACTGGGAAACCACACTGCATGAAAAACAGATTTTAAAAGGTATTTTCTAAATTTGGAATAGAAAATGTTGAATCCTCTGCTCTGGTTCCCTCCAGCTGATAAACAGCTGCATCAGAGTTGCATTTGAAGAATGCAATGAGTAGAATTTTTACCGTCTTTTAGTCTTGGGCGTTACCATCTAGTATTGAAGATTTCAGTGTGAAAATGTGGACATTAGAATGTGCTGCTGGATGAAGATAGTGTTTAGTTTTATTTCTTATCATAACTTCCTTTTACGACTCTGTCTTCTGGTATGGTAGGTAGGAATGTTTTTCTGCCACTGCATTGCTGGGACGGTGTAACAACTGTTGGAGAAAGTCAGACCGAAGGTCCACAACCTTAATGGAACAGGACAAGTATGGTGTGATATATTTGACTTGTGCTTTACGCCAATCAGATTTATTTGTGTCTAATAATTCTCAGTGGATTTCTTGTATGAATTTGTCAAATCATCCTCTGAACCCGTGTGAGCACTTAGCGTCCACAGAGCTCTGTGTCACAATAGTCAGGAGCCTTAACTAGGTACTGTGTGTAAACTCTGGAGCTAGAACTTTGTGAAGAACTACTTGCTTTAATTTGGGCTTGGGGGGTGTGGGGAAGATTTTGAATTTTATTCCTAATAGCTTCATTTGATACTCCTACTGCCTGTATGGGCAATTAACCCTTATTCAACTTTGAAGATATGAGACGTTTTCTTTCCCCTCGTCATCTCTCTTCTGCGTGAAAGAGATTTGGTCTTAGACGTTTTGTACTGAATCTGTTCCAAAAACTCGGTCACCCCAGTTTCTCTTGTTCAAAACTGTTTTCAGTTTTGAGATGGGCAAAAATCAAAATTTCACGTAGTGTTGAAGATACAAATGAAGCTTTAATCTGAGATGGCAGGACTCAGTTTTTATAAGATTTGTGATGTTTTCTGTTGTGTCCTCTAGGTCTTTTTTAATAATTCCAAATATTTAATTTGCTTTTTGATGTTGATGTTCATTGAGATGATGTTTTCATTGTATTATTTGTTACAATACTAAGGTCTGATTTTCCTTTTCCCCTCTACATTGCTTCATGTTTATCTAGTTTGAATTACACTTGCTGTTTCGTGGCCTAATGACTTGGCTGCAGACAAAATCACAGAATTTCCGAATGGCTGAGGTTGGAAGGGACAGTAATGACAGATGACAGGGTCCTACCCCCTGCACAAGCAGGTTCCCCAGGACTGTCTCAAGACAGCTTTTGAATATCTCCAAGAATGGAGACTCAACAGCCTCCCTGGGCAACCTGTGCCAGTGTTTGATTATCCTCACAGTGCAAACGTGCTTCCTGATGGGAGGCACCTCCTGTGTTCCAGTTTGTGTCCATTGCCTCTTGTCCCGTCAGTGAGCACCACTGAATAGAGCCTGTCTACATCTTATTTACATCCTCCCTTCAGGTATTTGTACATACTGATGAGATCTTCCCTGAGATGCCTTCTCCAGGCTAAACAGTCCCAGGTCTCTCAGCCTTTCGTCATGTGAGAGGTGCTTCAGTCCCTTTATCATCTATGTGGCTCTTCATTGGACTCTCTCCATAGCGTCCATGTCCCTCTTGTACTGGGAAGCCCAGAACTGGACCCAGTACTGCAAGTGTGGCCTCAGCAGTGCTGAGTAGAGGGGAAGGATCACCTCCCTCAACCTGCTGGCAACACTCCTCAGGGCATGCTGCTGGCTTATGTTCAACTTGGTGTCCACCAGGACCCCTGGGTCCTCCTCTGAAAAGCTGCTTTCTAGGCAAAAGTGCAATAGTGACGCTTTGGAGTTAGTCCCACTATAATAAATCTGAAGTAGCAATAAAGCTTTTCATCTTGCGACCCCATTCTGAATCATTTAGAAATAAGGCAAACAGCAAAAGACCCTATGGAATTTTACTGGCACTCTTCCACTATTGTGGCAAGTGTTTACTCCGATCCTCTCTTTGTCTTCTGTCTTCCAAAGAACACACTTTGGAAATCCAAGTAACTTTTAAAATCAACTATATTTGCCTACATACGTGTCACTTTTCTCAAAGAGCAAAGCATACCATACTTTGTAAAGTATGACTTGGAATTCCTGCTCTGGCAATTTCCACGGGACCCTTCTTAAATAGAAGTTGGGATCATACTTGTCACCTTCAAGTCATCTGTTTTACAGGCAATTTCAGGAGACTTCAAAATCACAACTTAGTCTATCCATGAGCTACTTGCAAACTCTTTGGGCAGATGCTACCTGAACCTTATGACTTGCTTTGAAATAGAAACAGAAGTAACTTGTTCCGTATCTTTTCAGTTTGAGACAGATTTTTTGAGGTTCTGCCAGAAAAAAAAGAACACCCCCCCCCAACTTTCTTCTATAGGAACCCTTCTAAAATGCACCCAGGGAGAGACAGAGGGACAGCAATTTTTCTGTGAGCTGTTACTCATATTGGGTTTTGGCTTCCAATATTGTTTGTACGTTCCCATGCTATTTTGTAATCCTTTCTGTTTTCCTCAGTTGGATACTTAAACTTTTCAAAGTTTGCCTCCTTTCAGTAGTCAACCATGCTCTGTGACTTAGCTATCCTGGTGTTCTTTTACCTTTTGTCAAGTCTTTTTTATACATGGTGCACACTTGCCTCTGACATGGTGACATTACAGAATCTCTGTGATGACTCTGCATTTGGGGACCATAGCTGTATTTTTGTGTCAGGTACAGATTTTTCTGGTTTAGCATACAACAGATTTCTTGAATATGTCTGTTCAAGACTCTGTACCTGCTTTCCTGCTTTGAGCAAAGAATAGGAAGAGGGAAGGGCTAGAGTTTGCTTCCACATGTGCTGTTACTTTGTCTGCATAGTGTATTTTTGGTTTTTTTTTGCAGGTCCTACAGTAGAGCAGCAGGGTGAAATGGCTCGAGCTGGCGGCAGGTCCCTGGCGGCTCTACGGCCTGAGCAGGTGACAGAACAATATGGTCTCACTTTTTAAGCTTGTGAACGTGTGGCAAGTTTTACAATGCAGATTTATAATTTAAATGGGTGCCTTGGGACAAGAATCTATTCTTTGTGTGCCAGATCCATCATTTGGATTGTAACGTGCTTAAAGAGATGAGAAAAGCAGAAAGATAATGTACCTTGGGGCTATGAAGTAATTAATGCTTTCACATGGGGTTTATAAAAATTTTAATAGTGTCAGATATCACACAAAAATTGTGAGCAGAGCTGCTGAAGAACTGACTGGAATAACTTGCTCCATTCACTCCTGTGTGTAGTGTAAAAAGAGGATCTGTAGACAGTCAATTACTGCTCTGCAGCTGTGTAGCTAAAATGTGGCATCTGTTGTGAAGAAGACAGTGTGGTTTTAAAGAACGTTGTGGGTTTGGTGAAGGTGACTGGGCATGGAAAGCGAGATAATAAAAAGCAAAGTAAAGGCTGAAGCAGTGTTCAGCCAAATTTTTCAGTGTGATGAGGGCTGGAAAAATCAGCTGGCCCCAAGCATTCAGAAGGCAAGACATTGAGAGGATATGGTCAACATAAATGGACTGAAGGGGACCAGGTGTCAAATAGCATGGGCTTTGTCTAAGAAGTCCATTCAGAAACGGTTTTCTCTTTCAGAGAGCAGAGATTATTTATCATCTTGCCGATTTACTAACTGACCAGAGAGAAGAAATTCTCTTGGCAAACAAAAAGGACTTAGAAGAGGCTGAAAGTAAAGGTAATGCTTCAAGTCTTTCCATGGTAATCTTATTGTCTTGAATCTCTCTGGGCCTCAAAGGAAATGAGCAGAACTAGAATCTGCTGTCACCTGGAATTGGGTAGTATGGCTGTCACAGATTAGTGAACCCAGGACCTTGAGAGCTTTTCAGTGTAAACAGCTGTAGCTTCCTTAATTACATAAAACAGATGCTTTTGTCAGAGAAGATACTGAAGCTTTGCAAAATACCAAGCAGTGTATTGTAAAAAGAAAAATAATAAAAATTAGTGTTCCATTTTGCCAAAGGAGGCTCGCTTTAGAAATGGAATGTAACAAACATCATCTCTGTTATTGTCATGCATAAAGTAAATATTTTCTGGGCTGGTTAAGATAATGTTTGGCTCCTGAGGGGAAGGATGTCATCTCTGTAATTAAATTAACGCTCTCCAAAAAGAACTCTGTCTTTGTCTGATTGAGGAAGGTTCTCTCCAAGTGGCTTGGATTAAACCCATTCTTCTGTATGAGACTGATGTGTTCATTAAGAAGTTGGGATTGGGATGTGTACATATAGGGATAGCAAATGTATGAAGATGACACATCACGAATGGTAATACTTTGTGGAAGATGACAGGGAACCGTTTTTTACTGACCAGAGTACCTGAGGGGACATTGCTGGGTTAACTTACTGTCCAAACATGTTCAAACTAGAAAATTCAGGCAGTTCTTGCCCAGTCTGAACAGAAAAACTATGCATGCATCTGTGTTTTGGGATTTCTGTCTGTAAAATAGATGAAATTACTGCCTGAGCCTTTCAGAAATACTGAAAAAATAGAAATGTGTGAGAAGTTCAGACATCTGGCAATACCTGTAATAGGACAAACCTCACATTTGTGGATGTTGATGTTGCTTCATGTACAAATCACTTAAACTGCATTAAGTGAAAATGTGAGGGTAGGTGAAATCATTGTCACATTTAAGTGGTTTTATTGTGACTATGGGACTTAATGCTCTGCATTTTTCATCTTGAGTAGGTTTCTTGCTAGGCCGTGGAAAACATCTGAATTTCCCTTAAGTTCACCACGTGTTTAAGTCGCTTTTGCTTGAGCCTAGGCAGACCAATCTATCTCCAGCACAATGTTTTCTTTCTTTTAGGGAGATTGGCACTTCCTTTGTTGAAACGTCTAAGTCTGTCTACATCAAAGCTGAACAGCTTGGCTATTGGACTGCGTCAGATTGCAGCATCCTCCCAGGACAGCGTTGGCCGTGTAATTCGGCGAACACGAATAGCAAAAGACCTGGATTTGGAGCAGGTGACAGTGCCTATTGGCGTCCTTCTCGTGATCTTTGAGTCCCGTCCTGACTGTCTTCCACAGGTATATAAGGAGGGCAGATTACACTGTTGGGAATTCTTTGGTGGTGAAAGGGTATTTCTGTTGGTGAGCAGTTGGGAGGCTGCAAGAAGTCTCAACTCTTACCTGGATTCTTCTGAAATTGATTTTGTTGGCATCCCTATTTTTCCTGCAGAGATATTCACAGGACTCGCTGCTGCAGTGCTCAGGGTTATTGAGACCTGGTTTTGTTTGTTTTTTAAACCCGAAATATAGAAGGAGGTATCTTGCATTCAGATGGTGGAGTTCCTGCATGTGTCTAACGAATGTATGTTCAGTGCCTAACTCACAGCTTGGGGGGGCTCCTACCGATGAGCACTTGTTTTATCTGTCCATGATGCATACGGCTGAACTTCAGGCTGGGATTAAACAGGAACTGTTTCATGCAGATGCTAGGAATTAACTGTAACTGTTAGGGATACATTATTAAAAAAAAAATAAAATTTAAAAAAGGCTGAGCACAGAAAGCACAGAAATTCCAGGCTTTCAGTGGTCTGTCCTATACTGGTACTGCTTATGTGCAGTGAGGCGGAATGATAGCTTTTACTCAGTTGTAGTGAGATGGGTGTGAGGAAGAATGGTGTTCTAAGTTCTGAAGTTGCTGGAAGGGCTAGTGAAAATCTCAAATAGTGTACTGTAAGTGAATGTCATTTATCTTGTGCCAGGAATAAGGCAGGCACCATAAAGGCAAATACCTTAATCTGCAGTGCTGTGTGAGAGTATTGCTGTGAATAAATGCTGTTACAATGCATGAAAATATGGGCGCTGAACTAATGTTGCAGTGGCAACCTTGATCTGATTTTCTAACTCCCGACTACTTTACTGAGCAACTGTAGTACAGAGTTTAAAAAAGAAAATAAAAAATACTTCATTATCAACACTATCTCCCACAATTAACATTTGGTGTCTAGGAAGACTGATTGAGGAGTTCTCTTAACATATGAGCAGATGTTTGAGGAGAAAGTGATGGGTACCAGGCACTTTAAAAGGAAGTGAGACTCAACCTGTGGACAGCTTCATACTTCGTGCCTGAATTTTGTGAGTGAACCCCTTTTCATACTGAAAGGGAGTATGCTGTAGGTAAAGTTCCCATGAAATGAAAAGGTACCAGTCTCCTTTGTCTACCGTTATTAGCTCCTCCCTGCTAGCTCTGTTCTTCATAGATGAACCGGTATGTTTCCTTGCTGAATTCTAGCCTGTCTGCCTGGACTTGTCAACCCTGCTCTCTTGCCTTGTGTAGTTGATGTCTCCCTCTCTTTCTTCCCATTTGTCTTATCTTAAAACTTACACCAGACTGACTCTTGCTGGCTTTTCACCTCCTCCTTTGTTTTACAGACTTGGAATAGTTCATCTTGGTAGTTGCTTTTCTTCCTGATGGCCTCCTGTCCTCATACTTGCATCGGGTTCTCTGATGCAAGTTCAGAGGATCATCTTTGATACCTCTGCATTTGAAATGAATGGTTTCTTCCACATGCTGTAGCTGACAGTAGGACAGTCTCTGAGTGCAGAGGAGCAGTTCCCTCTCTTAGTTTACTACTGCGTCTCATGCTTCTTTGGGTAAGCAATTAAGGGAAAATTTGACTTTGCCTTGGAAGAGAGTGTGCTCAATTTGCTCCCTGGAGATAGCTTACGTAGTTAGGTCAGTACTCAGAGTTCAGTCTTGAGTTACAGTAAAGGTGAACCAATTGCAGATTACCATTTGAGATTTAATAAGCCTCTAATGTGCATATACACATAGCATGTTTACCTCTACTACTTACAAGGCCAGATTGTGAGCATCTTTCACGGACTGCTTCCTATAGATTCTACCGGATCCAATTGTTGTTCTGAAGGAGTCATGATCTACTATTCTTTGAAGGGACTGAACAGTTTTGAAACCCCTTATCTTCTGTTCTCCTTTTAATCACAAAGTCTGTCATTGTTGTATCTTGATTCTTGATTATTTTTTTCTTTCAATTTTCTTCAAATCAGTTCATAACCTTTCATTTAAGGTTATGCCCACAGAGTGGAGTTCTTTATTTAAATAAGCTTATTTGTTTAGCTTTCCGTTTGTGATACTGACCTTTGGAGAGGCAGATACCTACAAAATACTTTCAAAATACAATCAGACTGCTTTTTAGTGTCTAATTTTATAAGTTAGAAAGACACACATTATCTATGTAAGGTAGGCTTCCTAAACTATTATACTTTAGTGTATTTTTCTGAAGTGTTTCTTATTGTTCAATATTCTTTTCAAATTGCTGACAGCAAGATGAGATAGAATATCAAACATTGTGATGGTTGTTATCCATTTGATATTAGGAAGGGAAAATTGTGTGATCTGAGGAGATATATTTGATGGATTTAACACTTTTCTGTATGAATCGGTGTCTAAAGTCACTAAGCTAACTGCTTGTTAGGTGTGAGCCTGGTTAATTCTGGCATCCACATCTCAACAGCATACAATCGCATATACTAATGAGTGCGGGTTTGGTGATGATAAGAACAGGTGATGATAATGATACATATGATGCATCCCAAAAGAGATTAATATAGTAAAATAACTTCAAATGCTTAATTCGTTCATTCTAAAAAGTTCTGGAGATTAGGTGATTTTGTTTTCTAAAGGAGAGTATGCTATCTTTTTCAAATAGGTGGACAAATTGTGAGGCCATTGTGAATGGGATTGGGATGAGGAAGATGATAAGGGATGCAAAAGTAAAACAAGTATGGGAAGAGAGCTTTATCACATCTGACATACTCCTAGGTAGAAAAGAACAAAAACCTGAAGCAAACAATAAAAACCCCTACCAGTTTAGTGGGGAAAACACCAATAAGTAGTGTCTGGAGACTGAACAAATTGAGTATATGTTTTCAACAGCAGAAGTAATTTTTATCTAAATTTATCTAACTTACAAAAAGTGGTGGCTTTTATGGAGCACTGTTTCAAAATACGGTCTAGTTCTGTTGCTGGGCTCAAATGGGTGACATCTGGCACCTTAAACAGGCAACAATATCAGTTGGTTCCTTCTGGTTATAAACATGAAAGCAAAGTGATACAGGTGATGCTGGGCCTGTTGTCTAGAAGGTTTTTCCCCACACTTCTGGCACGTGTTGTCTATTTATGACTTCTGTTTTAGACAGCACAATAAAAGTGTTCTTCTTCCTCATTGGAAGAGCTCATTAGCCATCTGCCAGAATGGCTAAGGACAAGAGTTCTTGCACCTAAAATTATTCTCCTTGGGGTGACTGCCCACACAGCTACCCAGTTCATACCAGAGCCTATGTCCATGGTTTCCTCTGACTTGTCCACTGTAGTCTTACCCTGGAAATAGTACCCTGAAAACTCAAGTTTGTTCCTGAAACTCTAATACATTTCATTTCTGGAAATAAATGTGCTGTTACTTGTAATGATGTTTTGGTGCTGTAAAATGAAAAACGTACATTAACGTTGAGTAAATCAACAGGATTATAAATCCTGTTCTTAATCAATTTTGTGGGTGTTATTCCAACAGAAGAGACAGATTACTTTTTTTATTTTTTTCTTAAATTCTGACAGGTGTCTGCTTTGGCTGTAGCCAGTGGAAATGGCTTACTACTCAAAGGAGGGAAAGAGGCAGCACATAGCAATCAAATCCTTCATCATCTGACACAAGAAGCACTCTCCATTCACGGAGTAAAAGATGCGGTGCAACTAGTAAGTGTCTAGAATTAAATCAACAATTTCTTTGCTGTGCTATGTATAAAAACTATGGGCAGAACTTGAGAGTTCGAGCTGTAGACTGTTCATATTGTGACTACCACAGGTGAACACAAGAGAGGAAGTAGAAGATCTCTGCCGTTTGGATAAGCTGATAGATCTAATAATTCCACGTGGTTCATCCCAGCTAGTCAGGAATATCCAGAAAGCTGCTAAGGGAATCCCAGTGATGGGACACAGCGAAGGGATCTGTCACGTGTATGTGGACACAGATGCCAGCGTTGAGAAGGTCACACGAATAAGTAAGCTGGGAGAGGGTGACTTGAATGTCATGGGTGTAGTTGAACTTTGTATTTAGAAAATGCAATATGGTTGTGGTAATTGATAATTCATATGCTGTTCAAAATCTTTCTGGTAAATGCTGTGTAACCAATTACTTACTCTTAAACCTCAGTCAGAGACTCGAAGTGTGAATATCCTGCTGCCTGTAATGCTCTGGAAACTCTCTTAATTCATCGAGACTTGCTGAGAACCCCGTTGTTTGATCAGATCATAGACATGTTGAGAGTAGAACAGGTTAGTCACTCATACTTGTGTTTTGTTTTGTGTTTTTTTTTTACCTAACACTTTAGAAGCATTTGGTCTCGCTGATGTAGTCCTGTTTAGTTTTACAATGGCATAGCACTTAAGTTATCTGTATGTCTCTTTGTACACGTGAATGAATTTGCAGAGAACTTTCTCTGCTTTTCCACACAACCCCAAGTTTTTCCATAGAAATGATCTGAAAGCGTCTTCTTTGGGATACCTATGTGCCATTATTGGAATACAAATACTTCCTTTTATATAGCAAAAATAATCTGCCTTAGAAAAGCGTATGTACAAGCCTTTCTCTGCCCTGCTTAATTCCAACTTAATTGCTGTTAATTTACCAGACACAAAGCTGCGTCTTCTTGAATCTACTAATTTAGCTTCTTACCCAGGTGGATTCCCTTTCTGGTTTTCTCCTTTCTGAATCTGCTTCATCCACATTTTTTGAAACCTTTCATCTTGCATTCCCTTTATCCCCACCCATTTTCCCTCCCGGTATGTCAGAGGAACAGCGAAAGGCTAGTATGCTAATTACTTGTCTTGACATGGGTAATATTTTGTCAGTAAAGGTAGTAGAGATGCACTGGGAGAGAAATATCCATGAAGCAGTATGAATTACAGGTAAATCAAGGATTTTCACACAGCAGTATGTATTTGGAAAAATGAGTGTACAGGCAGGAAAGGCCATATGTTTTGATGATGTTGAAAGGATCGTAGTAAAAGAAGCTGATATAGGTAGTCAGGAACAAGTCCTCACTTAATGGATTTTTTTCATGTCTTGTTTGGTTGTTCCTTGGGAAAGGTAGATCTCTGGATTTTGGATGGGAGGAATGTGAAGACTAGTGCATTTCCACCAACACCCACCTAGCTCCTAATACAGTGGGGGAGGATGTTACCCCTCTCTGATCTAACCTGATAACAAGAAATATGCAAATATTGAGCAGGATTATGCACTTAAAATAATAGTTGCACAAGAAAATGCCATTTTACAGATACCTTCTTAAAAGCCTTCATATTTTGCAGACTTGTGCCTTATTTCCCATTTATGTTTGTCTCGTCAAAATTTCCTCTGCTTCATTTGCATGGGGATTTCTCTGTGAATTAGTTCTAAATTATCTCTCATTATTTAGGTGCCTTGGCTGCCATGATTAAACTCAAAGGTTGATAATTCATTGGGTCATCTTTATAACAAATGAAAAATACCTACATGAGTTTTCTTTTTTGGGACCCAGTAACTCCTTTGTGTCTGAAACACATGCTTCAGAGAGGGCTGGTATCAGTTTACAAAGTAAAAGGGTAAAAGTCATTCAAGATCTTAAGTTTTTTATAAGTGCAAACTTGGAAGCATTCCTGTAGTTATTCTCTGTACTGCAGTTGCATTCTTAAAACAAGGGCTAGCTGCAATGTTTTAGCTCTTTTCCCAGTACGAGTGTTGTACTGTCCTCCTGCCTGATTAGCTTCTCTTTTAAGTGAAATGACTGCTTTAAATAATTTGAAATGAGTCCTGAACTAGGAGCAGGTCATGGTAAGTAGCCAACCTAGCGTGTCAGCTATTGGACCTTGTTGCTAATTCACCAATATGCTAAATTTCCCAAAATACGGGCTAATTTTTCTTATACTGCATGCAGTGAACACACAAGTGAGGCAAAGCTAATTACTTACCATCTGCTACAAGTAGACCAATGCCCAGCCAGTCTCTTAACAACGCCCGCCTTCTTCAAAAAACCCTTCCCGCAGTTTGTATTGCTGTGCATGACAGTATATGGCACGGAATATCCTTCTGGTCAGTTCAGGTCAGCTGTTGTGGTTGTGTCCCCTCCCAGCTTCCTGCACACTTCCACCCTTTTTGCTAGGGGAACAGAGTGGGACAAAAAGAGAAGACCTTGATGCTGTGCAAGCTCCGTTCAGCAACAGCCAAAACATTGGTGTGTTTTCGACACTGTTTTAGTCGCAAGTCTGAAACATCACACCATAGGGACTGTTATGAAGAAAATTAACTCCATCCTATCCTACAGAGAGTACAAGAAGCCACGCTTTCACCTGGAAGGCACTGATGTGGTCAACAGCACAAAATGTTTCTCGTATTGCAGGTGAAGATTCACGCTGGCCCAAAGTTTGCATCTTACTTGACATTCAGCCCTTCAGAAGTGAAATCTCTCCGAACAGAATATGGGGACTTGGAGTGCTGCATTGAGGTGGTGGACAGCGTCCAAGAGGCTGTTGAACATATCCACAAGTATGGAAGCTCTCACACGGATGTTATCATCACAGAGAATGGTTAGTGATCAGTCTGCTTCCCTAAGCTACTGTTTTGGTTTGACTGCCAGTTCTTGGTGTTAGTGTAACTACTTGCATTGCAGTAGTTGTTCTTCTCTTGGACCTGTAGAAGGCATAACCAGCTGAGGGCCGATGAGCTAAATGTGCCTACAGTCCTGTTTAGCTTAGAGAAAACATGTCGTGTGGCCCTTATGCCAAGATGTTAAGGAATGTGCTCAAGCAATTGGCCGATGGCAAGTCAGCACATGCATTTGCCAGGCAAATTGCTTTGTGTTCTCACATTGTGCAGACTTACTGCATTAGAGGGTTTTGCAGGAATGTCTCCTGAATCCTAGAGATGTCCTTAGGCCTCCGAAGGCTGATGAGGTGAGCTTCTGTAGTACCTCACTGGAGGGAATAGGGATTGTAGGGAAGATCAGACTTTATCCACTTTGTATTCCCATGTCATTTTTATATTTCACAAACAAGGACCACAAATGTTTTCCCCCTACCTCTCCCAGTCCTTTATTTTCCGCTTCTGCATCCCTAGTATAAAAACTACATTCATCTCAATTTGCAGTTTCTTGACTCTTTGTTGTGAACTGGTGCTCCTTTATGGAGCTCTGTGCTGCTCCCATCCCTAGCACCTGTCCTACATGCATTTTGAAGGCTGTACCAGTTCCAAACCTACCTAGAGCTGCTTCCAGCCAGAGGCTGACTCTCAGACTGAGCCTGGAACTCCTGAGGATCAGCTGCAGTAAGGTCATATTGATCTGAGGCTCATCAGTGTGTGTCAAGCACGCTATGCTTCTGTTTCTGTACCTCCTGCTGAGCTTAAATGAGTATCACTAAAAGGCATGCATTTGACACTGTGACCCACTGTCACGAGACCTGGCACACTGGTGACTTGCTAGAGAGCGTACCGGAAATAGAGCTGATGCTTAATGTTCATCTTGTCTCTAAAGGCAACTGACCTGCAGCTCACGGCCTAATGGAGAACGGAGTCCTCCAGAGGACTAAGACTTGCATAACTCTGCTTTAGCTTGCTCAGGTCTTGCATGTTCTGTGTTTAAACTGGGTTAGTTAGCCAATTTCATGTGGTATTTCTGCATTGTATTTCCAAAATATTACCTGCAATAGCAATTTAGTTTAGGATTTTTCATTACAAAATGTTGTTTGGGGCAGCTGTCCTTTCTCCACAGTCACACGGCTATCCCTGTTTGCAGGTTCTAGACTGGATATATTTAGAATTAGACATCTGTTTTGCTTTCTTCTAATCTTTGTGAGCTTCTTGTAACATTTGCAGCTGTGTTTACTTGATAAGCATACTGGGAAGATAGTATAAATGAACATTTGTCAGCCCAGGCTGTTTAAATACTCTCTGATAAAGTTACATGTGAAAGTTGTATCATTATATCTGTTCACTGTGTTATGTTGTGTTTACTGGAGTGCATGATCATTCTGTATGTACTGGATTTTATTTTTCTCTCTGCCTCTTTCACAGAGAAAACAGCAGAGTTCTTCCTTCAGCATGTGGACAGTGCTTGTGTTTTCTGGAATGCCAGTACCAGATTCTCTGACGGCTATAGATTTGGACTTGGTAAGAGAGAAAATACGGCAGGGATGTGCCTGCAGGATTTGCTGTTGTGTGAAGTGTGGCAGTCTGAATCCTCGAAGATAGGATTAATCTCTGATCTTACTGTCTAACATAAGGTTTTCAGGAAAAGATGAAGCTTTAGACATTTCATCCACATGGAACAGCAGTTAGTTTAATATCTCTTTTCAGCCAGAACTAGGTAATACAGCTGTAGAGACTATGTAGATTAATTGGGCAGTAGGGAGCAAAGATGTTTTGGATCCTTGAAGCTCTATTTAATCAGAATAAAGTATGCTTCATGAAGGTAATGATAGAACAATGCAACACAGGATCTGAAATTTGTGAACAGTTTTTTTCTTTTGTTTATCTTTCTAATGATGCTGTAAAGAATTCTATGCTTCGTTCCTGCTGGGCAGACTGAGCTGCTGTTCAGTGTGCCAGCCCTGCAGCATTGAGGAATGAAAGGCAGGATCCAAACTGAGTGTCAGTTGCTTAAATAAACAGGTGCACCTACTGTAAATCGCAGAAGGCAAGGGAAACGTTCTTTCCTGAGGTAGAAACTCGGAAATCTCCTTAGCAGGCTATTACTGTGTCAGCTGGAACATTCAGTGTTCCATGTGATTAAAAAAATTCTAGCTAGGGTCTTGAAATATCTCCTCAATATGACACAAAAGGACATAAAATGACAGTCTTGACTAATTAAACTCTCGGGAAACAAGTCTAAGATCCATGTAAGAGATACCAATCTCTCTTGCATCTTTCTCTCTGAATATAACTATAGCAGCTAGAAGTATCGACATTACAATTTATAACGTAATATTTAAGCTCCTCCAACTTTTAAATTGGGTAAATATTAATTCTGCCATTGGGAGAAGAGCAGAGAAAGGCAGGTCACTGAAAGGCAGGCAGCTGTTCTCACATAGAGGTTTTGCAAAACTACATAGTATGAAGTGAACGTTTGAGGATTAACTACCTTTTCTTGTACGTTTCCTGCAGGTGCTGAAGTCGGAATTAGTACTTCTCGTATCCATGCTCGTGGACCAGTGGGAATTGAAGGACTCTTAACTACAAAGTGGTTGCTGAGGGGTGACAATCATGTTGTTTCTGACTTCTCAGAGCATGGGAGCATGCAGTATCTTCATGAGAGCCTTCCTCTCCCTCAGAGAAATACCAACTAAGAACATCAGGGACAGGGGGAAAACCCAAGGATATCAATATTTCCTGAAGATGTTTAGGCTGCGGGGCACTCTCCGGGGAGGGAGTTTGTTTTTCATGTTTAGGAACGTTGTTTTCAATCACTGTGCAGTACAATGAATACAAAATGATCCATCTATTAATTTTTTTTTCCTGCCTCTTTCTGTTTCCTTAGATAGTATCTGCAAACTGACCTCACTTTTCCAAGACAGACTTCTTCAAAACATACAGGTAACATAAGGAAAGACTTAAGTATCAGCCTCATTCTTTTTTTTTATTATTATTCCAGTGCTCCCTATAGCAAATGTGCTTGGTGGTGGAGCATATTATTTTGTTTTTTTTTTTCGTAAGTCAGTTTTATTCAAGTATCTGTTCTGGAGAACAAACTCGATAGGGTTTTTTTCCTTCAGTCTTATGATCGTGGCAGCTCTTGAAAGCCAGAAAGCTTTACACTTACTTTCTTTGTATGATGACTCTTGTGATAAAGGGATAGATGTTTGAAATGCATAGTAAGCTTTTGACCAGGAAACCTTTTATATCTAATTTCTTTGTATTGTTGACTGTTGTAGATAAATAACACAACTGTCTACTATGTGAATTTTGTGTACTTACTTGTACCGAAGGTTTATTTTTCTTTGGTTTTATATAAAACTTAACCTTCCACAACTCCTGCTCCGAAGGCAATACTACTTTGATATTAGATTTTCCTGACTAAAGCTCTGAAGAAACGCTGGCTTCACACGTGTGCCCTGTGGTGAGATGCTCAGTGCAGCTCTCCCTTGTTGGCAGCCAGGCATGGCTGGCGGCTTGGTGCTCTCCGCAGCTGCTCTCGGTGCTGCTCTGTGTTACTTGTGCAACTGTACTGCCGCACACTCTGCTCAGACGCACCGCGGGTCAGCGGCACGTATGGGCTGGTTCTAGAGCACGTCTGTGCACATCGCCTGTGCTGCAGGTGCCGGGGCCGGACCTCTGTGATACTGTGCTGCAGGCGCACAGTTTCCTTCTCTGCCTGCTTCTCGCAGCTGCTGCTCCAGCTTCTTCAGCCGTGCCATTGGTGGCTAGCATGTCCACGGTGCTCGGGAGCCTGTTCTGGCACACCCTGCTCCTGGTCAGCGCACACGCGATGCACCGGGGCAGCGTGGTGGGGCGCAGGGTGTGTTTCCTGTCCCCATGGATGCTCAGGGCCCACAGACACCAGTGAGGCAAGCGAGAAGCTTTGGTAGCCGTGGATGTCTCCTGATCACTGGAGGTGGCACGGCAGGGGAACTCGGTCCAGCACCAGGCAGGCACGACACAGACCCTGCTGGGAACACAGTGAAGGGGACTTTCCCGAGCTTTGTCCTGCCGTGTGGGCCCTGGTGTCGTTGTGGTGCCGGCCGGTGTGCATGCACTCGGCGCCGGGAGCGGCGGGCAGGTCCTGGCGTGGGACGGTGGTGTCGTTAGCGGTCACAATCGCGAATAGAACTTATCTACACACAGCAGATAAGCAGGCACTTCTTTATTCCAGCGCTGGGGAACACGGGGGATAACTCCGCCAAAGACGTGTTCATCGACAGATACAAAACACCACGTATTTATACACTTTTTCAGCAGAGTCATGGTTACATAGTCATGGTTACATAGTCATGGTTACATAGTCATGGTTACATAGTCATGGTTACATAGTCATGGTTACATAGTCATGGTTACATAGTCATGGTTACATAGTCATGGTTACATAGTCATGGTTACATAGTCATTTTAACTCAAGATCCATAATCAGTACCCATTGTTTTGATTCAGAGTCCATAACGATTCCTATAGTGATTAAGGCAAACACCATACTAGTTAATAACGATTCCTATAGTGATTAAAGCAAACACCATACTAGTTATCTGTTCCTAAGGGCCTCAACATACCTTATATTGTCACAGCTGCTATAACTCCATTTTAAATCAAAGTCTTTTTTTTCTTCTTTTTTTTAAACTAAAATCGAAATAATATTCTAGGATCCAAACTGTTTTATTAAGGTAACTGCAACATTTCCCCCCTTTTGAAAGTATTGATAATCATACTCAATACTTTCACATAATCAATTTGTAGTCTCATTAAATGCCAAATGGTCATATGATGGTGTATCTTTTAATGACTTACCTCGTTGTCTTACTTCTGCTTGTATAATAATTCAATTAAACTCTGCTTTTAAGGGTCAATTAATGTTTCAAACAACTGTATGTCAGACCAAGCACTATGAACACCATTGGTCACCTGTGCTAGGCCTGATAATGATGTTTTCCTTCATCCATGTTTCTACCATCATAGACTATAAAATTTACAGAAGACCAAAATTCAGATCCTTAATCATGCTTCAGAGTCAATTTTAACATTTCCGGCCATCCAGAAAAGGTATCAACCCCAACCAGAACATACCGATATCCTTTACATTTGGGTAATTCTGTAAAATCAATTTACCATTAGTCACCAGGTTCTACTCCTACTTTCAGTTTGCCCATTTGAACTCTCTTCTGTACCACTGGATTATTCTTTAAACATACATTGCATTTTGCAGCAACTGATTTAGCCATCTCTAACATCCTTACCGATACTATGTGCCTCTTCAAGAATGTCACCAGGGCCTCTACGCCCCAATGGCATGCCTGATGTTTTACTTGTAGTATTTCCCTCATAATTAATGGGGGCACAACCACCTGACCCTCAGAGGTTGTCCACCATCCTTCTAAACTTTTCTTTGCATTTAAAAATTGAGCTAACTTCTCATCTTCCTTCGAATATTCTGGTGGTTCCTTTGAGAGGGTTATAGTTCTGGTAGGAATTATTGCCATTTGTAACACTCGCTGATGAGCCGCTTCCTTGGCAGCTTGATCTGCTAACCTATTTCCTCCTACTATTTTTGTATTTCCAGATTGATGTGCTTTACAGTGCATGATTGCCATTTGAGCCGGTTCCTGAACCGCCAATAACAACTGTAAAATTTCCTTCTGATGCTTAATATTTGCTCCCTGGGAGGACAATAGTCCTCGTTCTTTCCGTAATGCTCCATGGACATGAACCACTCCAAAAGCATACTTGGAATCTGTCCAGATGTTCACCGTCTTTCCCTTACTTAATTCCAATGCTCGTGTTAAGGCAATTAATTCTGCTTTCTGTGCTGATGTAGTGTTGGGCAGTGCATTTGTCTCTACCACAGTACTTTCAGTTGTTACTGCATATCCTGCGTAGCAAGTTCCATTCTGTACAAAGCTACTGCCATCTGTAAACAGCTCCCGTTCAGGATCTTCGAGGGTGACATCCTTCAAATCTTCTCGAAGAGAATATGTATGTTCAGTAGTCATTATACAATCATGTTCAGGTTGTTCTTCCTCCTGTGAAGCACTCAGAAAAACTGCAGGATTTACAAGATTAGTTGTTTTCAGAATCATCTTGTTCTGTAAGGATTACCTGATATTTCATCATTCGGCTAGGGGACAGCCAATACCCCCCTTTTTGTTCTAACACTGTAGCAACCATATACGGAACATAGACCATGATAGTTCTTCCCAAGGTGAGCTTTCTGGCTTCTTGTATCAATATTACTGTTGCCGGTACTGCCCGCAAGCAGGAAGGCCATCCTTTGCTCACCGTGTCCAGTCAGAAAAGTACTGACAGGTCTCTTCCAGCTTCCATCCTCTGGGTGCCTTTCATGAACAAACAACTGGAAATATTTAGTTAAATCAGGTAATCCTAGAGCCAGTGCTGTCATTAAAGCTCGCTTAAGCTTTTGAAAGGCCTCCTATTGTTGTTGACCCCATATGAAAGGGGGTGGACTTTTGGGCCTCATATAATGGCTTGGCCAAGAGACCATAATCCATAATCCAAAAATGACACCACCCGGCCATTCCCAAGAAAGCTCTTAATTCATGTACAGTCCGAAGTTCCGGAATAGCACAGATTGCTTCCTTTCGATCAGTCCCCAATCTTCTTTGCCCCTTTGAAATTTCAAAGTCCAAATATATCACTGTTTGGCTTGCTATTTACGCTTTCTTCTTAGACACCTTATACCCATTAAGTCCCCAAAAATTTAAAAGTTCAGTGGTTACCTGTATACAGGCTGTCTTTTCTTCTGTAGCTATTAAGATGTCATCCACATATTGCAAGAGTAGATGTTCTGGTCTCGGAGTCACTGTCTTTTCGTTTGTCCATATTTCTAGTTCTTGGGCAACTTGGCTGCCGAAGATTGTTGGGCTGTTCTTAAATCCTTGGGGTAGTCATGTCCAGGTTAACTGTACTTTACGCCCTGTCTGTGGGTTTTCCCACTCAAAAGGAAACAGTTTACGACTTTCCTGTTCCAGGGGTATGCAAAAGAAAGCATCTTTCAAATCAAGCACTGTAAACCACTGATATTTTTCTTTAAGAGCTGTCAGTAAGGTATACGGATTTGCCATTACCGGTTGAATGTCTTTTACAAGTTGATATATAGCTCTCAAATCCTGTACTAATCTGTACTCACCTGTGGGCTTTCGGACTGGTAAAATAGCGGTATTATATTCTGACTCACATTCTTCTAAAATCTTATATTTCAGGAATTTATCAATTAGCTTTTTAATTCCCTGTTTTGCCTCAGGTTTAATTGGGTATTGTTTGATCCTAACCGGTTTTGCTCCTTCCTTTAATTCAATTTTCACTGGTTGTGCCAATTTGGATTTTCCAGGGACATCAGTTTCCCACACCATGGGAACTACTGCATAACTCACTTCTGGGGGGATTTCTTGTATCTTTGGTTTTTACTGTATCATCAGAATTTCCCGTTTTTGATTCTGGTATTTTTAATAACAATTCTCCATTTTCAAAAACTATTTGGGCATTTAATTTGGATAGCAGATCTCTTCCCATTAAGGGTATCGGACATTCTGGAACGTACAGAAATTCATGTGTTATGATTTTATTTCCAAATTGTAAGTTCAAGGGTTGTAAGAATGGCCGGTGTTCTTCCTTCCCTGTGGCTCCCACAATATTTACCATGTTAGATCCTATCACCCCTTCTGTTTGTTCAGAACTGAGACCGTTGCTCCAGTGTCCACCAAAAATGTAACCTCCTTCTCTCCCAGCTTAACTGTAACCAGAGGCTCAGCTGGGTTCACCTCTGGTCCTCGTCAATCTGCATACTCTCCTAGAATCATCACGTTAGCTGCTGTTTGCTGACCACTTAATTTCCTTGGAAAATCATTTTTCCAGTGCCCCTCCTTCTTACAAAAGGCACACTGATTTATTCCGAGAGGGGTTCTGTCAGTCAATCCTCCTCTTCCCCCTTGTATTCCTCCCCTTAAAGGACCTCTTGAGATCTGTAAAAACAATTGCAAAATTGTAGTATGTGCCCTTCTCTTAAATCAGCACCCTGGGCTGATTGCCCAGTCAGATGCCCAGGTCCGGAGTCAGGTCCACGTTCAGGGAAAGGCAGTGGAATGGGGGGGGTATATGGGAACTGCAGGAATTATTGGGGCAGTAGGAGCAATATCTAATTCAGGACCTGTTTCTGTATATCCCCTCCCTTCAGTGCCAAATGTTTAAAGCACATTTTGGTGGAAGTACATGCGGGGCAACGTTCCTGAACCTTTTTATCCT